TTCAAGAAGGAAAATCAAAGGAGAAACCAATATAAACTTCCTGGTGTCTGTATTTATGACAGCATAATAGTGACTTCAATGTCCATAAAATAATGTGCTACTTTACCAAATATGACCTACTTTAAATTTACTAGCCATGTAGAACCAGTTTGGTTTTGACACTTTCTGAAAAGTGTGTTTTTGTTATCCCTACTCTCCATAAGTTTTACTTTTATATGGTAGTGTATAATTAATAGAGCATCTCTGCATAGATCCTTCCTTCCATAAATATTTGCATACTTGTTCCTCTGGGTTAAACATTTAATTCACTGGGTCTAGCTCTTCGGGATTATAGAAGATAATCTATGCATTGTAACATGGTATGATATAGAAAACAGTAATCTCTAGTGAAAGCATAAAGAATGTACTCTCCAGACATCAGTTTGCTGAAGGAAGTGGAATGAACACAATACATGAAAATATGACTGTATTACTTGTGTTTGCCTCCCTTGAAAATTGAAAAAAATATATGTTTTTAATATTTTGTAATTCTGAGCTAAAAAATCAGACCCCATTTTAGTTATATTTGAAATTCTTATCTGCAACTTGACTCATTTTTTAAAGTCATGTAAATAAGTGCTTAGCTAAAAGTCATTATTTAATTGCTGTTGTTGCAGTTGGCTAAGTCTCACCTTTTGCATATGATTTGTCTGAACTTGAGAGCATATCACTTGTAACTGTTTTGAGATTACAGCGTGTGCTGGCTTAGATTCATTTTAACATGAGAATTAAAAATGTCAGTGTTTCATACAAATCTTCATCATTGGAGTCTTATCTCTTAAATATTAAAGAATAATTTTTGTGATGTAGCACAGTTTTATATGTTTAAAGTACAAAGAGTGTTAAGTGGTGACAGACATTATGACTGCTCAAAAACAGGATACTGGCCTGTTGAAAAGCCTTTTTTTATTGTTGCTATATAAATGGGTTTTGAATATGGTGTTAGAGGTCGTATGAATTTTGTTCAGAAGTTAAGATTACAATTAAAGATTACAGTCAAGGGATAATAAAATGTTTTTCAGATTTTCTAATTCTGATAAGAAAATGTACTATTAATTCTGATAACATAATATTAGAAATTAAAGGATTTTTTAATTGTTAAAATATGATACAGAATCCCTATAACTCAAATTTATCCAAACCTTAACTCTTTAAGCCATTTTTTCAGTCCCTTACAGCTATTTATTTTCACAGTTATTCTACAGAATTTTTATGAGACAATATATTAACATGTTTTATGTGTTTTTTAAATACATTCACACTCAAATTGGTGATGCTTTGGTGACAGGTCCAAGCTGATTTTGCTCTGCCGTTTGGTCTTTTACACACATTAGTACCTCTGACACTGTATATTTTTCCTAAAACTTCATTTTCTGCGTCTGGAAACTAAAAACTTATATGACTTTTAAAAGAAGGAATTTGTTTGGTGAAATAAGGAATAATTATGGCTCTCAATGAGCCAGAGTACACTGGTTTGTACACTGAAGTCTTCATTTAGATATTCATATGCTAAAAAAGAAATTTGAAAACCAACAAATCTATGCTGAAGCTAATTTAGTTCCATAAAAGGCAGATATCACTTCTGCACTTAGAATGGTGAATGCTTCAAGTTTTGCTAATGTTGTTAGAGCAGTGCAATGACGATGACCATGTGTGAAACATATGAAATATATATTTGGATAGTCTTAATAGGTCTGTTTCACGTGATTCAAGAATTTTGGCACTCAGAAAATACTATTATCTATAAATTTGTACCAGCATATTTTTAAATTTTTTAAAGTGATTTGACAATTGCTAGCTAAAACAGCAATACCCAGGATTTGTTCATACTGAGAAATGGGTCCATGAAGATAGGTTGCATTTTTTGTCTTGGTCTCTTTAGAAGTTTTTCTAATAAACAGGGTTTTATTTTTAATTACCCAGTTAGCCTATGTAATTGTACCATAAAATTAAAAATAAAATAGAAAAAAAGAGGAAGCAAACATGGAAAAAAAATTACCCAGTATCATACTCTTTGTGATCTGGAGCAACCCTAAAATGCTAAGAGTATAGATTCAAATATGTGGTAAAGGAACCCTCCAAAAAGGAAAATTGATAATAATGTTAGGATATACCACTGAAAATTAGGTGTCCCTCTGCTTTTTGAAACAGAACAGAGTAAGAAAACCATCTCTATCTGGTTAGTGCCTCCTGGATACCTACATATGTAGGTCATCTCAAAGAATCAAGAAATACTCCTGCCTAAATATTCTATAAGCATGGAAAATGTCTCTCTTTTTATTTGCCAACGTAAGATGTTCTTGCTAAGGGACGTATAATTGCATGCTAATTCTTGAAAAGGTTAAACTTATTTAATTCAGGAAGATAAGTCCAAGCTTTCAAGGTCTAACTTTTCTTGTAAGGGTGGCTGAGTAGTAAATTTTGGCTGAGGACTTTACTCTGATTATACCTTTCTGTAAGCATGATTAAATAGTGAATATTGCCTGGGGATTTTAATCTGGTTGTATACCTCTACACAAGAGGAGCATGGCTAACAATATTTTAAAGATAGACTGTTGAATACAGCCAAGTTGATCGAAAATGATTCCTACTTCTTTATTTCCCATAAATATCCCTACACCAACCCCAGGCTGAGAAGAACGTCTTCCTACGCGTAATAGTCATGCATTGTTAGTCATCCAGTTCGTTTTTTTCTGCAGTACAAATGTCTTATTACTGCAAAACGATAAAACTAAGTAAGGTATGGTACTGAGAACAATATTGACAGAAAAGTTAGATCATAAGGGAAGATGATTTAAGAGGGTTTCATCAAAATTGTGTGTATTTCTTTTACACAAAGTAATCCAGAGATTGAAAAATATTTGCTGCTGATGTCAGAGTAAACTGAATGGGGAGGGGGAAATGCTAAGGAGAGGAAATGAGCGTGTGAGACAATATGAAGCAATTATGAAGCTCTGCCCAAAAAAGGAATTTAAATTAAAATTTGTTTGTAATCTACAGCCACTTTGCAGAAATAGTTTTGAGTACATTAAATTCATTTATACTTTAATATAGGGTGTGAAGCTCTTTATTGCAAGGCATAACAAAGGTGATGAATTTCTCAACTCTGTGTTCTGAATAGAATTACTGTGACTTCTTACTTTTTTTGTAAGGTATTAAAATCATTTGGGGCTTATTAAATTCGGGTCCTCTTAACCTTGCTGGTTTTAGTAGTCTATATGCTGTAATTTAGATTTCTAATTTGGTCAAGTTTCCTTAGAAAAGTCACTCAAATATTAGCCTGAGTTCTGCAACAATAAGGCATAAATGCTCTTCTGCTCCTTGAAAATAGTGTTTCTATCTGTTTAACTTGTATATAATGCACTAGGTTCGGTAAATACTTAGTAGTATTAGAGAAAATTAATATTCAATCTTCTATAATCCTTTCAAATCACAATCTGTAGGATTTTGAAAAGTAATTGTTCCTAAAAATCCCTTGTAACAGGATACATATGTAACGAGATATACTTTAATTTTTTTATTCTGAAGCTTTTATTTTTTGCTAATTCTTTCATGTTTCTTTCATGTTTCCCATACACAACACTGGACTAAGTACCCCTCTGCTATATTATGCTCAGTTCTGCAGGAGGTTATCATCCTGGGAACAGTAACTTCCTCTCTGTCAAGTCTATACACAAGGCATCCATCCTACTCCTTTTACTGAAAACCTTGACTCCTCTGCTCTGACATGAGCTCTTAGTTCTTCAAGCCAGCTGTCTTCACTCTGGGTTCACAAGCCTGGACTTCAATCTTTCACCAGTTTAGTTTTCTTTGTATTGAACACCTGAGTTCCCTGTAGAGAGGGTCTCAGACTGCTGAGAAAGATTACATCAAATGCCTTGGTTTGTCTTCTACCATGCATCACATGTCGTGTCTCAGTTCTTGGTATTTCTCACGCTCTGCTTTCTCTGGTACCACCAAAAAAAAAAAAAACCCACTTCCGATCAGTTCTCACATTCCAGCATAACCAAAATGTTTATGGCTGTATGAGAGATTTGATGTGGTTCTTGCTGACCGTGTGTCACAGTCTTCACAGCAGTGCTTCCCCTTTGTTCTCAAGCCTTCATGCAAAGTAGGCTCCTGGGAAATGATTTACTTCCCATTAACAAGTTGTTTTTGACCTGTGTATCTTGGAATTTCTTCTGTATTTTTCTCTTCCTTCCCCTCGTTCCATCATGTAGTTCTCTCAAGAGGAAAAAAATTTTTTTTATTTCCTAATTTATTTAGCACATTTTTCATCAGTGTTTCCAGTTAGCATTTGCAACTTCAAACCTCTCCACTGTGTGAAATTCACTGCATGAAATCATATACAGATATTGCACTGTGCCAAATAGAGACTACCTAATAGCTCCCCTTTATTGACTTATTAAAACCCTCACATTTCTTTTTTTTTAATAAAAAAGACTGTTTCTTTATTTGCAAGTCAGAGGACACAAAGAGAAAGAGAGGTCTTCCATCTACTAGTTCACTCCCCATTTGGCCTCAGTAATCAGTGCTGAACCAGCCAAAGCCAGGAGCCAGCGTCTTGATCTGAGTCTCTCACATGAATGGCAAGTGCAAAAAAACATCTGGGCCATCTTCTCATATTTCTCCCAAGCCATAAAAGGATCAGCTGCAATACCAACCAGCACCCAAATAAGGTCTTGGTGTCATAGGCTGGCACTTTACCCAATATTCCACAATATCAGCCCTATCAAATTTATCTTTTGAAATAATATTTATTTATTTATTTAAAGGGATAGTATGTTCTCATCTTCTCAACCTCTTACCATCCAATCTTTCCAATTATATTTATGAATTAACCTCTGAACAAACCATAGTGTTTGAACACAACCCAGGCAATGATGAATTAGAGTTTTGTTTGATTTGTGTGGAATTGATAATGAATTTGCTTTCAAATGTTTTTGTTTTGATTCTTTCAGAACCAGTTCGAAGATACAAAACTTTTCAATATGATATCTTTAGTACTTCCAGTGAAAGTCCATCTATTATTTCCTCTGAAACAGACTTCAGACAAGGTGAGCAGCATCTCCGACAAACACAATATTTTTCTTTATTTGAGAAACAGAGCTCCTACCTCTCTGTTCACTCCCTGAATATCCACAAAGACTGGGGGTTGGGTCAGGGGAAAGCCAGAAGTCAAGAACTCAACCCAAGTCCCACACCTGAATGTCAGAATACCAGTTCCTTGAGCCATCACTACTGTCTCCTGCAGTAACAAGAAGCAGGAGGCAGGAGCCGAAGCCGAGTGTCAAACTCAGGTACTCTGGCAGGAGATACAGGTTTCCTAACAGGTGAAAATAAGCCACAGCTTTGTTAGATAGCCATGATTGCTTTAGCACTGAAATAAGTTGTCAAAGAGAATAATTCTACACAAAATGTTTAAACTGTAAAACGCTGTTCCTATTCATTTGATAGTGTTATGGGAGCTTAATAGCAATTTAATCAAATGACAATGCCTTAAAAATATACGACTCTCTTGAAAGAGTTTAAAAACCTTATGTCATGAATTTGGTTATGTGGATATGATTTCACAAATGTTTGTTAAATACTTGAGTTTTAAGTAAGATTACTATCATATTTTTATAAGCTGTACTATCATTCTTTTTCTATTCACAATTAGTAAGAAGAAGTGAAGTTTCAAAGAGATTCGAATCTGGCAGTGGTCTCTCAGGGGTAGATGAAACCCCAAATCAGTGCCAGAAACCAAGGTATGTTATATAAAAGAGTAATAATTTAGGATATTTTCAGGAACTGATATTTATATTTATATTTCCTCCATTAGAATCAAACAGAGCTTTTTTGTTATCCTTTCTTTTATTTTTCCATTTCCACTTTTTCCTTTACCTTAATTCCTTTTCTCAAAAATTCATCCAATTATATGAATTACAAGGTAGTAGAATCGTTGAAAGCCAGTATTGATTATTTCAACTTTGTGTTTGATTCTTTTAAATTGTCACTGCACAATGGATGGAAAGTGAAGGCATGGCATCAAAAGTTCATAGGAAGATAGTAAACTTGATTTCTAACAGAAAAGTTTTTCCTTTGACAGGCTGGAGCAGGCTTAGCCAGCAGGTTCTCAACGAGCATTTGTTCATTGGTTGCCAAAAAGTTAGGCTACTACTAAGTAACTTATTATGTAGAAAGTTAATTATTCGTTTTATCTTTCCCATCTTAAGAGAAGTTATCTGGTATTCTTGTAAGGCCTGATTTGGGCTGTTTAGAGTTCATTCTCACACTGAAATACTCAGAAAATTTCTTCCCAGGACTTAGTTCTATTCTCGTGCAATGCTTAGGATGATGTAGTATAGCCGAGTATTCACTGTGTTTGAACTGAAAGATGGCAAGTCAGGAGCGAATAGACTGATATCTGTCCTTCTTACATGCATTCAAATCCCTTGCAGGAACAAAGCTCCCATGAATGCCAGTCATGTATTTCACATTTGTAAGCTATATTAAAGCCAGAGGTTGCTTCAAAAAAATTTCCCAATGAGTGCTTTTTTTAAAAAAAAATATTTATTTTATTTCTATTGGAAAGGCAGATATACAGAGAGGAGGAGAGACACAGAGGAAGATCTTCCCTCCGATGGCTCACTCCCAAAGTGACTGCAACAGCTGGAATTGGGCCAATCCGAAGCCAGGAGCCTAGCGCTCTTCCAGGTCACCCACACAGGTGCAGGGTCTTAAGGCGTTGGGCCATCCTCAACTGCTTTCCCAGACCACAGGCAGGGAGCTGGATGGGAAGCAGGGCCACCGAAATTAGAACCGGTGCCCATATGGGATCCCGGAGCATCCAAGCGAGGACTTTAACCACTGCGCTATCGCATCAGGCCCCAATGAGTGCTTTTAAATCCAGCTACTCAGTTTAAATGTAACCTGAGGCATAAGAATTATTTGAAAATCAACAAAAAGGTAAATCTGCGCCTGAGCCAACAGTTTTGAGTAAAACGAGCACACTGCGAGAAGAAGAACAATAAGAAATCAATTCAGAATTATGCTAAATTCTGCTGAATTCAGTAGTGGAGCACAAACAGGAGATTAGAATCACTTTGCATTACAGAACCATCTGGGTTATGGTATTAATAAGAGTCATGTTCAATGTGTGATACCTATTATAAAATGTTATTCTTTAAATGCCCATGGTTGATGAGTGTCAGTTACTCATCAAGAAAGCTTTTCCTTAAAAAAAAAAGTCACTCTTTCCTACCTAATTAGGAGAAAACCTATGAATAGTTAATATTGTATCCTTTTTAAGTTGGCAAAATTCAGTAGAGATAATGACTGGAAGAACTATTGGGATTATGTGTTCATAACTAATTTATAGCCAATCTGTTTTTCATTTTATATAGACAAAATTATATCATTTTATAAAGTATTTCCATTTTCTTAATAAGGAATATCAAAAGTAACAATTTGTTAAAAACACCTGTTTAGTTTTATTTGAAAGGCAGAGTTAAAGGAGTTCAGTCCCGAAATGGACACAGTGGCCAAAGCTGAGCCAGTCCACTGCTGGCAGGTTTCCTCTGGGTCTCCCACGTGGGAGCAGGAGGCCTCATGGGCCATCCTGCACTGCTTTCTAAGACACATTAGCAGGGAGCTGGATTGGAGCGGGAGCAGCCAGCACTCAGTCCATATGAGTTGCTGGTGCTGCAGACAGAGGCCTAGCCTCATATGCCAAGATGAATTTAATCTTGTTTCCCAGTTAGTGTAGAGAAAAAAAACCCACAGTTTGAATTAGCCATAGGTACCAGAAGGAAAAAAAAGCAATAATTCAAGATGAACTAGACCATTGGGTATACATGCTTGTTCTATAACTAGTCCTATCTTTTCATCTTTTTTTCTGTCCCACAGAAATATACATGAACTTAAATAATATCTGAACTCCTTAGTCAAGTGCACAGTTTTCTGAACACAGACAGAAAGGCACTTAATGTGCTGGTACACAGGCAGGAGATCGTGTCTGGTTCTTGAGGTCGCATGTTTGTCAGAACTGTAAATACTGCTATATTTGTATATTCTGTGTGCTTCTGCACAAAAATTTCTATTCTACCCCTTTTAGATATAATGAAATGGAAAGACAGATCCAGACAGTGCCATTGATGTGTATCCTGCAGCATAGGGGAAGATTAGCAGGAAATTATGACTCAGATGAAGAAGCATGAGTAATTGGGGAATTCTGAGTTATCAAAAGTGTCTTTCAGTGACAAAAAAAGGATCTTCAAAGCTGCACATATAAGCCTTTTTTATGTGTTCAGTTTTGAAGTGTAGTTTTTACATAATACATTCCTACTGCTTCTGGTCCTATCTGCTTGTTGGGGTGATCTTTATTTCTGATTCTGAACAAGCATTTATTCATTTCTCCATGACACAGAGTTTCTGAATCTTTGGTTTGTTTTTGTTTTCTGTCTCGCAACCCTTTTAATGCTTACAGAAACTTCAAGCAGGCATTGTGATGGGAGACAGAAAATGTCAATCATCTTTGCTACACTGGGTACCTGTGGTGTAATTTGAGCAATAAAGTTGATATATTTAGAGAAGTGCCAGGTTTGAGTTAAAATGTATAGATTCGAATTATTATTATCCTTGCTCCTTTCACCATTGAGAGTGAACATAAAATTATATTCAAACATTCACTCAACAAATAACTGATTAGCTACCATGTACTAGAAATTTTTAGGTGTTAGAGTTAACAACAAAGGAAAGATCCTTTGAGAGAATGACAGATAGAGCTGGCTGGTAAACAAAATGTCATCCAAGTTCTGTTTACATAGATGGTAGGATCATAGAAAAATCTTTCTTGTGGGGTGACTTAGAACAGCTAGTAAAAATGAATGATCTGTGCAGATAACAGCAGAGTGTTCCAGACAAAGAGTATAACAAGTAGGTGAGTAGGAAAGATGTGTTGCATGTTAGATGGATAGCAAGAACAATGTGACTACAAATGAGTGAAGGCCATCATGGATGGCAACCAAGTAACCAGGACTCAAATCAGGTCAGAAGGTAAGGTGAGTACCATAGGTGTTATTCTAAGTGTAATGGGAAGCCATTGAATGAATGATTGAAAGCACAGAGAGCCATGAACTAATTTACATAGTAATAGGATTACACTGGTCTATTCTGTGATGAACAGATTGTAGGAGCAAAAGAAAGGTTTTAGAGGAACTGGAGTTAAAGAATTACAGAAATTACACAGAGTATGGAAGGATACAACTAGAAAATTTAGGAGGTAACTTGATTATGGTTTAAAAACCAGTGAAACCATGGGAATAGGTTGTGGGTTGAGGTGGCGAAGAGACCAGAGTGGCAGGAGACTCCTCAGTCCATACCTCAACACCATGGATGATGACAGGAGGGATAGTAGAGAAAAAGACTGAATCTGACACTTGAATGTTTAATTAGTAAGGGGGGTGGAAGTGGCTGATTGGACAATAAATGTATATATGGTAAAATAAATTAATTGATGTTATGCTTTCGTGGAATGAGCTTGAGAGAATATGGGCATTACTAAGAAAGTGTTCAGCAGTGGTTTAAAAGTTTAAAAGAAATTTTCAGAAAAATCTCATCCTCTGGACCCAGCACGGTAGCCGTGCAGCTAAAGTCCTTGCCTTGCACGCACCGGGATCCCATATGGGCACCAGTTCTAATCCTGGCAGCCCCACTTCCCATCCAGCTCCCTGCTTGTGGCGTGAGAAAGCAATGGAGGATAGCCCAAAGCCTTGGGACCCTGCAACTGTGTGGGAGACCTGGAAGAGGCTCTGGGTTCCTAGCTTTGGATCAGCTCAGCTCCAGCTGTTGCAGTCGCTTGGGAAGTAAATCATTGGAGGGAAGATCTTCCTCTGTGTCTCTCCTCCTCTCTGTATATCTGCCTTTCCAATAAAAATAAAACAAACCTTTAAAAAAACTCATCCTTCTCCCAAGGACCAATGTACAAGGCCTGTGAGAATAAAACAGCCTGTATGTAAATCAGACAAAGCAGTCTCCAGAGATGCTTTATTGTTCAGAAAAAAAGAAAGAGGATAAAATTTAACTGTTAAAAATAGAACAGTAGTAGAGCAATACTTCAGAAATGCGACTAGGTGCCCTGGCTTTTAACCAAAGAATATTGCAGACAACAAATATGTGATGTTTGCAGCCCTGGCTTGGTGCCCTGCAATTTAATTCATCTCTGACACTAAATACTTAAATAGTCCTCAATCCCACAGTTTAAGCAGTCAGTCCCACAACATCACCCCCACTTTAGATGTCATTTGAGGGTCCCAGCTCTCCCGTACTGTTCTAATCAGCCAGCTACAAATCAGATGGTTCCTTTCACCTTTTTCTGGGGTTCGATAATTTTCTAGAACGACTTAAGAGATGTTATAGAAATTTTATCCTAAAGATATAACCAGTTATCAATCCAATATCCAGCCTTTCTCCTTCCCCTCAAGATTGCAGGGAGGGAGGCCCAAAAGCTCTAGGTTGCTTAACACAGTTTGGTGTTTCTGGGACCAGCCCCTGCCTGAAACCATTGAGGGTACCATCTGGTGTTTCCTCATTTGAGGCTCTTTTCACCCACCAAGTTACAAGAAGTTTAGAAGCTCTGTACCAGGAACCTGGGTCAAAAGCAAAATATTAGAGCAATAGATTATCTTATCACCTGTTACATTTCAGGAAACAAAATCTTTAAGAACTCTGTTAGGAGTCAGGGACAAAAATCAAAATCAAAACATGTGTGTATAATATACATATCTTATATATTATAACCAAATACATAATGTACTACATATTTTATGCCACACGATCTAATACAAACAATTATTCTCAAATTTAAAAAAAAAAACTTTAAAATCTTGAACCTTGATTTTAACGTGGAAGTTCCTCTAGCCTTAAAGCAATTGTTTTCTTTCCAACCCTTACTTTTCTCCCTTTTTCAATAGCAGACAATACGAAACACCCCTTGAAGGCAACTTAATTAATCAAGACATCATGCTAAAACGGCAAGAAGAAGAAATGATGCAACTGCAAGCCAGAATGGCCCTCAGACAGTCTCGGTTGAGCCTGTACCCAGGAGACACAATCAAAGCTTCCATGCTTGACATCACCAGAGACCCATTAAGAGAGATTGCCTTAGAAACAGCCATGACCCAAAGAAAACTGAGGGTAATTTGATTTTCAGGTTATGACATCTATAATTGCTCTCACTGGGAGCTGTTGAATAAAAAATTGCCTTACGTGTGCTAAAGTTACAAATTCCATGTTAGTTTACAGTGGGATTGGATACCTTGTTGATTGATATTAAAAAAAAATACTTAGCTGTCTCCATTCTTTTAAGATTTTTTTTAATATTAAGTAATGTATTATTATTCCATTTGAAATGGAAAGTTCAAGGTTTGTTCAAGTAGCTCAAGAGTGTTATCAAGTTCATTCTACCTTTCTGGTCTACCATTTTCAGAATTTTGGCAAAAACCTGCTTGTATAATTGAAAGATGCCTACATTCACACCAGACATCACAAAAAGTTGTCACATTACAATATCCAAAGACAGGAAGAAATTAATCTGTGCCTTGTAACTTGCAGGGAATAGTATTATAGGGATATTCTACTAGTTGGGCTATATTTTTCCTTCAACACATAACCTTGAGTGTATTTTTACTAACGTAAGTTCGAAATAAACGTAGTTGCCTCTTGTAAAATACCTTGAATATTTTACAACTCCTGTATTATTGTAGTGGTTACCAAGTACTCCATTAGATAGATGACTCTTCTGTGTACTCTAAGTTCTTTAATCAGTTTATAATTTGTGAGTATTTAACGTGTTCCTCATGACCTTGCTGTCGTTGCTGAAAACAGTGGTTTGGTGAGCATCCCAAAGCCATTTGCAGGTAACTTCTTGCTCCAACAGAATGGCCAAGTCAAAGTTACAGAGCTTTTAACACATTGGACACATATTTCCTTTAAAAAACCGACCAACATTCAAAACTCAGTATGTTTCCGCTGCTCATGGTTGTATCACCCTACTTTTACCTATTCTGAAAATTATCACCCATTTCTATTCTCACCTGCTTTTAATATTACCTTAAAATGATTGTTCAAAATCCAGTAGGTAATAGTAAACTTGTTATAACTTAGAATGAATTATTTTTTCCTTTTTGGTACTGTATTTTGGAAGTATATTGCTCTATTTTGGTTTTAGACTGAGTCTGTTGCTTTAAATTATATTAACACATTTTTTTTGTGCTCTGAAGTTGATAGGATTCAAACTTCTTGTTCTGTTCTAAGGAGAAGGTAATATTGTACGATGAAAATTGCATTGCACTCCCAGTTGGAAGACATGAATTGTATTCCTGAAAAGGGGTGCTAGTATTTGGAAAAATAACCTCAAAGTTGAATTCATTTTCTCTCCCAAAGGTTACATTTTTTTTTAAGTTTTTCCACTCTTTTCCTTTTGGTCCAGACACATTTTAGCTTGTTCATGAGCTGGTTGATTTTTGTTAGATTCTGTGTGTCTCGTGATAGACTTTTTTTTCCTACTTTATTTTCATTCTTGTTTAAAATCTGTTCTATTGGTTCACTGACTACCAACAAACCCTTAATGTTAAACTTTTACTTAAATGATGCCTATCATGTGTTCTACACTTGGTTAGTTAGATAGAATTCCCACTACAGACAGCTAGACAAGCTGCACAAGCAAATGCAGATGCCAACAAAAACAAAACCTCCGTAACCTAGTAATCCAAATAAACACACACACACAGGCCTATCTCTGGTCTCAAGATCACCCTTGTGTTCATTTAATGTTTTACCCATGATCTTTCAGTCCTTGCTTAGTCCTACTCCAGCTCAGAGTCCAACTTGTTTTCAGTTATCTCCTAAACCAGTTTTCCTTACTTGGCTCTCAGTCCTGAATAAACAAGAGGAAATCAGGGAGGGAGAAAAATCATTTGAGAAGCAGTAAATACAGACTACAGACTACTTTGCCTTTCTCTGGAGTCCTTCGCCCCATGGTTTGCTGAGATGCTTATGACTTATTCTATCATAGACTACATGAAATCCATATTATGTCTTGCTGTCACTCAACAAAACAAAAAAGACACAGAGTCTCATCATTTCAAAAACATGATTTCTTATGTGTCTGTAGATTTTTTAGGCAATAAGAAAATGCCTTTTAACTATGACTCATTTTAAATTGATGATCATCCTCTGAAACCATGATAATCTCTTCAGTTATTCACACAAGTAGTGTTAAGCCTACTCTTTAATGAGCTGGGTACCTCATGTATTGCTTAAATAATTTAAGCTTCTTCATGTTTGTGAGGGCATGAGCCTATCTGGAGACAGTACAATGAAAACCCTGTAAGACACTATCAGATAAGGCATATGCTTGGTATCACTGGTAGAAAACTAAGATGAGAGGAACTTTCTGTTAAAACTTAAAGATCTATTTCATTCCCATTTTCAAAAAAGTCCCATGTCTTCTTTATTGAAGGTTTCCGCATTTGTTTTAGGTGACCTGGTTATTAACTGTAACCTCATATGTAATTCATTACAATTATATTATTTTCCTCTCATGAGACATCTAGAATGAAATTATTCTGATTCTACTTATGTGATCTTTCAGAATTTCTTTGGCCCCGAATTTGTGAAAATGACAATTGAACCATATGTATGTTTGGATTTGCCACGTTCTATCCTTGTAAGTAATAAAAACCATTTTGTGTCACTCTTGGGAAATAGTTCAGGAATGTTATTTTAAAAACCAGTAAAAACTCTTACAATGCTTGTTTTAATAAAGCCTTTTTTTTTTCTCCTTTGTAGACCAAGAAAGGAAAGAATGAGGACAACAGAAGAAAAGTAAACATAATGCTTTTGAGTGGGCAGAGACTGGAACTAACCTGTGATACGAAAACTATATGTAAAGATGTGTTTGATATGGTTGTGGCTCATATCGGCTTAGTGGAGCACCATTTGTTCGCTTTAGCTACCCTTAAAGGTACCAAAACATTTTGAATTCAGAGTAGGCTATGGAAATTTTGCTTCTGTGACTGTCATCATCATCGTCTTCTTTTTAAGGATTTATTTTGCTTATTTGTAAAACAGAATTACAGATAGAGACATAGATCGTCCATCACCTGGTTCATTCTCTAAATGGCCACAAAAGCCAGGGCTGGAGCAAGCCAAAGCCAGGAGCCTGGAATTCCATCCAGGTCTCCCAAATGAATGGCAGAGGTAAAGGAGTTGGACCATTTTCTGCTGCCTTTAAAAGCACATTAGGAAGGAACTGGATCAGAAGTGGAGCAGCTGGGTCTTGAACCAGAACCAATGTGACATAATAGCATCCATTGCCACAGCAACAGCTTAACATGCTGTGCTATAAAGCCAGCCCCTCTGTACCCATTTTCATGTCCAACCTCATTTGGGAAAATTGAACAAATAAGTACTGAGGAGTCAAAATGAGTTAGGAACGCCCTTCCTTCTCCCTACCATGTACACTGTTTTTATAGCTATGTTTATTTGACATCTTCTATATCTGATAGTGAAGGTTTATCTTTGGGTATGATTATATCAAAGTAACCTTCAATTATTCTATTTTAGGGACTATTTTATATGTTAACTACATATATATGCATTCATTGTAGAAATTAGTATTTGAATATGATTCTGAATATGTAACTGGACTTGTATATGAATTTCAGTGTCAGTTTCTTTTGCCTGTAATTCTAAAGGCATGAAATATCACTTTTAAAAGTTACTGGTTGATGATTGAAATAGAGTCATATCCCATCTTCTCTGAGCTCCATGATGTTTATAACTAGACCCACCTCAGAGTGCCCCAGTGGAGCTCTCTATTGGAGTTGTGACAGCTTTCAGAGGCTCTTGGAAGTTGATCTTATCTCTTTAAGTATTCAATATACTTCAACATTTCAGATTCCTGTTTAACTCAAAATTTAATTTTTAAGTTTTAGAAAACAAAACACTGTAACTGATAATTGAAAGATAAAATTAGTCTTAAAAGTCTACAAAATTATGACCATATCTTTGTTATTTCAAAATAAATGTTTCCTTCAATATAACTCTTTAAATTATTTTTTAAAGATTTATTTGTTCTTTATGTGAAAGGCTGATTTACAAAGTGGAGACAGGGAAAGATCTTTCATCCACTGGCTCACTCCCCAAATGATCACAATGGCTAGAGCTGAATTGATCCAAGCCAGGAGCCAAGAGCTTCTTTCAGGTCTCCCACGTGGGTACCGGGCCCTAAAAACTTGGGCCATCCTCTACTGCTGTCCCAGGCCATAGCAGGGAGTTGAAGGGAAAGTGGAGTGGCCAGGACATGAACCAGTGCCCACAAGGATTGTTGGCTTTGACAGGTGGAGGACTGGCTTATTGAGTCACAGTGCCAGCCCCAGTTCATTAAAGTCTTATACCTTAAAAACAAACAATTCATTTTGTACAATAACCTAGTAAATACTCAATTAGTACCTACTAATGTTCTATTATTTCACTATTTTTATTTTCAGACTTATCAGTTAATACTTTCTACAAGAAGATATTCAACCAATCATAATTTCTATTTAAATTGCATCTGGTTTCTAAATATTCTAGAGATAATATTCCATTAAGTGATAGTGTAATTTGTCAATAATAGTTTAATAATTGTATTATAAAATAAAATGATTTTCATATTATAAAATATGAATGATTTTCATACTTATCATATCTTACCACATAATTCAATAGTAGTAACAGCTAATTGATTTAGTGTATATAATTATTATGTGTTTCATCAAGTGTTTTATACCCATTATATCATTTAAGTGTTACAACAGTTTTATAAAACAGGAATTAACAATATGTCAATTAGGCACACACAAAAAAATTGATATCTAGACAGAAAAGATAGTTTTCAATGTTGTATAGCTGATGCATGAGGTGGCCAGGAATTAAATCTGGTCTGTCTTTAGTGCCCCTACTCTGGAAGGCATGAGCAGCATTGCCTCCTGGCCTTGTCCAAGGCCTTCATGCTTCCTGTCATCCTTCCCTCACAGTCTGGTTTTATTTTCATATAATACTGTTTTATGTTGTCTGACAAAAAAAAAAAAGAAAGAAAGAAAGAAACCAGAAAAGAACATTGGAAGTGTTTTATGTTTTTCTCATTTTGTTTTAGATAATGAATATTTCTTTGTTGATCCTGATTTAAAATTAACCAAAGTGGCCCCAGATGGATGGAAAGAAGAACCCAAGAAAAAGAGCAAGGCTGCTATTGATTTCACTTTATTTTTCCGCATTAAATTTTTCATGGACGATATTAGTCTAATACAGTGAGTACACAAGAACTTCTCCTTTATTCTTTTTGGTCTTCCCCCCGTTCTCACCTCCTTTTGTTGTACTCTTTAGTGTACTAATATTGAATTGCTTGATTCTCATCAACAACAATGGCTTTATTATAAAATAAACATATCAGTTCCCTCTTCTCTACATTTCAGTGAGCCACATTCTGTCACAATTTGGAAATATTGAATAAAAGAGCTTAGAAATAAACAGTTTTAAAAAACATGCTATTCTGATTTGCAAACTAAAATCTTGTGCCATCCTGCTTTGTCCTGTCCTGCACATTTCTGATGTATTCATCCAGTAATCATCCTTTCATCCAGCACATTTCTGATGTATTTGCCACCATCCATCAGTCACACAGTAACTCTCCAAGTTGGCAATTTGGCTGTACTATCATGTCATGATATCTGTGTTCCAGTAACCCCTGTTTACTTAACTGTGGCCCCCAAGGCACAAGAGTAGTGATGCTGGCAATTTGGATATGCCAAAGAGAGGCTGTAAAATGTTTTCCTATAAATAAAAAAGTGCAAGTTCTTGACTTAAGGGGAAAGCAAAAGCATCTGTTAAAATTCTTAATATCCACAGTAAGTAATTGTTAGTCTCTTGTGCCTCATTTATAACGTAATCTATTGAAGTTATATATGTATAACATAGTACATAAAAACAGTACATACAGGGTTTGTTACCATCCTTGCTTTCAAAGATCCAGTGAGGATCCTGCAGCATGCTGCCTGCAAATAAAAGGGGATAACTATATTTCTTTCAACTTAGGATGTTGAACCAATAAGGAACCTTAGATGTGGCACAGTAAGTTCAGGTTCTGCCTACAATGCCAACACCCCATAAGGGAACACTGGTTTGAATTGCAGATCTTCTGCTGTGGCTCCCTGCTGATGTCTCTGACAAAGCAGCAGATGGTCCAAGCAGTTGGACCCCTGTCACCCACACAGGAAACCAAGTAGAATTTCTGGCTCCAGCCTTCAGCCTGACCCTCCCTAGCATGAATGGAGCTCCTGGCTCTTGTCATTGGCCAAGCCCAGCCCCCACCACTGCAGCCATTTGGGAAGTAAATCAGTGGGTGGAAGCTCCCTTCCTCTGTCTCACTACCTCTCTCTGTGTTGCTCTGCCTCTCAAATAAGTAAAATAAATCTTGAGCCTAATGATAACCCATCTTGGAAACTATATTCGTATGTCAGTAATAAAAATCACCCCAAGATTCAAATCAGAAGCCTAGATGTTTCTGTGCACGTTTATATATTTTTCAGACATACTCTGACATGTCATCAGTATTACCTTCAGCTGCGAAAAGATATTTTAGAGGAGAGGGTGCACTGTGATGATGAGGTATCCCTGTTGTTGGCATCCCTGGCCCTCCAGGCTGAGTACGGAGATTATCAACCAGAGGTAGGATTTATTTTTCCTCCAGAACCACTTCTGTATTGATGATCTTTTACTTAATATAATGAAGGTATAAGCTTATTTAAGGTTTGTGACATTTAGAACTGAAGGGTTTTGAGATTGATGTAGTGCTTCAAAATGACCAAACTTCTCATGTACGTTGGGTTTATAAAATCATGTGGTGTGGCTTTTTTTCCTTTGAAATCTGTTTGGAACTGGTATTGTCAAGTAGTCAAACAGCTGCTTGCAACACCCAGGTCCCACATTGGATTGCCTGAGTTTGAGTGCTGCCTGCACTTCCCATCCAACTTCACAATAATGCTGCCTGGGAGGCAGCACATAAAGGCTCAAATACCTGGGTTCCTACCACCCACATGGGAGCTCTGGTGTCACCCTGTCCCAGTACCAGCTGCTGTGAGCCTTTAGAGAGTGAACCAGCTGACAGAAGATATTGCTCTGTAGTTGTGCCTCCCCACCCTCCTACCCTTGCTGCTCTGTTTTCAAAAAAACAAAACTTACCTTTTCTTCTCCCAAGTTCTAACTAGCAGAGACTAGACATGGTGGCTATTAGGCAAATATGGATTAGAAGGATCTTCTTCCTTCTGCACAGATTTACCCGGAGATGGGCTTGGAACCGAGCAGAGTTCACCACCTGCAGAATTCACTTTATCATAATCCTAAACACAGGCAATCCTGGAGGATGCAAGAGACTGTAGCACCGCAGCTGCATCCTTCAGGCCGATGCTGAACTGTAGTGCATTGAGACTCTTGAATGTCACTCTGCTCTACCTTGCCAATCAGATGGGTTACCCTAACTCATGAAAGAGATAAACTGAAACATTTCTTTTTAAACTCATTCTTCAGGAAGGGAAGTTGAAACATAAGTATTTCCTCTGTTGGCCAAGGCAAGACCTTTGAAATGGGAGAAAGGTCACTCCAATAAAGGACCAATGGAATGCTAACCAAAACCTTCTCCTTTCTAGGTTCATGGAGTATCTTATTTTAGACTGGAACATTATTTGCCTGCCAGAGTAATGGAGAACCTTGATTTGTCGTATGTTAAAGAAGAGTTGCCTAAACTGCATCATACATATGGGGGAGCATCTGAGAAGGAGACAGAATTAGAGTTTTTGAAGGTAAGCATCCAAAATTACAAATGATTACATTTGAAAAAAATAAGCAGGGTTGGAAGGATTGGGTGTTTGGCACAGTAGTTCTGATACCATTGGAACATACATGTGCCAAGCTGTATATCTCCGCTAAAGATTCCAATTCCAATCCCACAGTGCCTGCGTTTGAGTCCTGCCTCTGGTTCCTCATCCCAACTTCCCGCTGATGTACACCCTGGGCAGTGACTCAAATACGTGGGTCCCTGCAGCCCACAAGGGGGACTCAGCTGGTGCTCTTGGCTCCTGGCTTTGGCTGGACCCAGCTCCCCACTGTTGCAGACATTTAGGGAATAAACCAGTACCAACTAAAACAAAAATGTTCCCTTGTGTCATTTTGCTCTCAATCCTCTCTCCAACCACTAGTTCCTGGGAACTACCGCTTTGCTTTCTATTGCCACAGTGTTTTGCTTTCTTAAATTTCATATAAATAATTGTGTAATCTTTTGAATTTTTTCTGAATAATACTCTTGCAATTCAGCATTCTATGGTATCTATCAGTAGTTTGCTTTTTAATTGCTAAGTCGTTTTCCTTTGTACAAATGTCAACCAGTGTCATTATTCTTTTTGTTTGCTGCCAAACTGTGACAGTGCAAGGGAATGCCAGTTTATTTGCTTTATCATTCATGACTTCTTTATTGATATGTCTGATAAAAATTTTATCCAATTTCTTATTTTCTGATAACTATATATTCTTTGTGGATGGCAGACATAATTCTTTTATCAGTTAAGTAGTGTTTTATGTGTATTTATCTCCCAGCCCATGAATTCCCTGTTTTCTTACATCAACTCTTAATGAGCAGGGTTTATTTAATCAATTGATGTTTTCTTTTATGATGTATACTTTGCCTCTCAATACTTTGCCTTCTGTGTTTTTGTCCTTTTAAAAACATATGTTTATTCATTTGAAAGGTAGAGTTATGGGTTGGGGAAGTAGAGTCTAGCAGGAGATCTCCCATTCACTAGTTCACTCCCCAAACGGCTGGGAGTGGGCCAGGCTGCAGCCAGGAGCCTACAGCTTCATTCAGGTCTCCCAAATAGGTGGCAAAGGGCCAAATAACTGTCATCCACTGCTTTCCCAGGGGTATTAGCAGGATGCCGGATTGGAAGTGGAGTGGCCAGAGCTAATTTGGGATGTCAGCATTGCAGGAGGCAGCTTAACATGGTTATCACAATACCAGATTACCGCTATTACACTAGCTTCTAATGTTAATTTAGTTCCAAATGATCAACTTTTTCTTTTCTATGGCTTTTGCTTTCTTAAGTCCCTTCTAAGGAATCTTTGCTTAACCTCAAGTTACAAATATTTTCTAAGTTTGGTACTTTTAGCTTATGTATTCAAGTTAAAGATTTATTTTCACATATCAAGTGAAGTTTGAGACTCATTCTTTTTGTATCCGCATATCAAGTTTTCCAGCAACATCGGTTGAACATTTTCCACATTAAGGTGTATCACTATTATTTCTATATTTTTGTCACCTTTTGCCAAAGTGTGTTACTCCGACGTTGTTTTGTCCCATTAGGTCTGCCAAAGACTGACAGAATATGGAGTTCATTTTCATCGGATACACCCTGAGAAAAAGTCCCAAACAGGAATACTCCTTGGAATCTGTGCTAAAGGCGTCCTTGTATTTGAAGTTCACAATGGAGTTCGCACACTGGTCCTTCGCTTTCCATGGAGGGAAACCAAGAAGATTTCTTTTTCTGTATGTCCATTTTAACCTCCTTTTGTTTTAATTTTTGATGACATTAGCAGTTACCAGTGTAATATAGCAAACTGAGTTGCTTTAAGTAAACTTTAGATCTCACATTTAGTAGGGTTAACATGACTTAATACTGCATAACTTTTCCTTCTGAGTTGCAGGAAGTATTGTTGCAATTTTGTTTGTTCCTGATTGTCTCAGAAGGTAATTTTGAAAAGAGTGTTATACATTTCTAGCTGGTTATAGGCCCAATTAACTTTAGTTAAATTACAACCAAGTTGAATTCTCTGTTAATTCAGAGCTTATTCTAATGTTGTAACTTGTCACATGGAAAACTCCCTCTAATGTTTAAAGAGGAATAATTATCTTAACTCCAGCCAGCCTTGTTTCTCTAAGTAGTAAATCTCTCAAAGAAACAGTTATTTGATTCCTTTCAGAGGTCTGGAAATTTACTACGGTATGAACTTGTCCCGTGACTTTCTGCAGTTAATTATGTTTTATTCTTTACTCTGTACAAGTAAAGTTAGAAAATTCTTTTTAGAAAATAAGGAAGATAGTGAGATATAAAGACATATTTTAATTTTGGACGTAGTTGGAGTATTTGAACATTGAGGTGCCTTTGGCAAACCCCAGATGAATACAAAATATATTCAAGTGTTTGTTTTCCTAATGGTTTTCAGGGACTACTGACCATTAGTTCATATTTGAATTACAAGAAAATACAGTTTTGTTAGAATGATATTCATATGATATTGAAATCCCCTATATTTAATGCTCAACCTAGGAACCTTTGAAATCAGTTCTAGACCTAGTGGTTAGCTGGCTGATTTCCTGCAAAACTCAAAAGTATCATTAAGATTACCGGATAATAATACAGTCCCAGGAAATCCCAGACTATTTTATCTTCCCAATATTGAAGGCCATGAAATTGCTTGGGTTTAATATACATTTCAACAGTGAAAATGCTGGTGTCTGAGGGAAACCTAAACTACAAATTTTATTGGGACCAGTTTTGAAAAGACACAGGCCAAAATATTATCTAGATTTCAGCTCCATAGTCATTTGCCAAGCTACCACACCAGCCCCAATATGTAGAACTAGCTGTGAGCCGTGATTGGCTCATTTTTAAAGATCTGCTGTAAGAGAGAATAGGTCTTATTCCTATGCAGACTCTTTTGTGCATGTAATAGTACTTGTTTATCCTGAAGTTCTGTCTCCTCCATAACCTTCATTTTTTATCACCAACCTCAAAGGAGAAGGAAGAAGTCATGCGTCCTTGTCATCTCTCAGAACCGAGTTCCCTCCAGCACCTGTCTAGTCCAGCCCACCAGTTAACACTTTGAGACTATGAAATATTTTTCTGATGTGTTTCAAACTCATGTTATCTGTCATAATTATTAGAACATCTGTAATATCACTTTTCATAGTTATTTTGGACCTGTAACCTGTCCTTGGCCTTTTTGGTGGGTGTGTGACTTCACCCTTGTTGTACCTTTGCGGTTTAATACAGATAGCAATTCTGTAGGTTTTTTTTTTAAGATTTATTTAATTTATTGGAAAGTCTGGTGTATAGACAGGAGGAGAGAGAGAGAATATCTTCCATCCACTGATTCACTCCCCCAAATGACTGCGGTGGCCAAAGCTAAGTTGATCCGAAGCCAGGAGCCCAGAGCTTCTTCCGAGTCACCCATGTGGGTGCAAAGTTCCAAGGCTTCAGGCCATCCTCGACTGTTTTCCCAGGCCACAGGCAGGGAGCTGAATGGAAAGCAGGGCCACTGGGATTAGAACCAGTGCAGATACTGGATCCTGGCATGTGGTTTTGACTCATAGACTAAGGAGATTCATTTGTTCCTATTTAGACTGCAATCAATGAAGTAACTGTAGACTATGACAGTCAGTATCCATGCAAATTACTTGATAATGATTAATGGTATTTTTAATAGTGGAAATTTTTTCCTGTTTGATAAATTACTAGATACAATGCTGACAATCAAGACACTAGTTTGGTGCTACTATATCTTTTTATTTTATTTTATTTTATTTTATTTTATTTTATTTGGGATTCCCCCTGACAGATTTTCCCCACATTGCTACAATAGTATAGTTGCTACTCTATCATGAACTCCTCTATAAGACTTGATGGGTCCCATTTTTTTAACATAACAGATTTGATCGTGCAGATTTCATTAGCAATAATATTTAGTTAGAATTAGACAATACTAGTTTATTTCTTATATTTATATTTCTTACATTTATTATATTATTTATATTATATTTCTTAAATATAGTACTGGTTATAATATGAAAATTTCATAAAGTAATTTTATGTAGGCCAGAAAAGTCAGCTTTAGAATTTTTTTTTAATTTTTTTTAATATTTTGACAATCTTTACATAGTTAATTAGGGTAAAAAATGTTCAAGGGCTACCGGAAAGTGGGTAAGACTATTATTTTTTCCATATTGTTTCCTTCATGTTTAAAGGTGGGTATTAAAGGAGAAGGCCCACCCAATTTCCCACCCTCCCCAGGTCTCGGATGTAGGGTATGCTCTGAGGTTCTTGCTCAAGTGGTTTTGATATAACTTTAAAATTTCTAAATACGGAGCTGGCACTGTACCTTGGCACAGTAATCCTCCACCTACTTGCTGGCATCCCATATGGGCACCAGTTCATGTCCTGGCTGCTCTACTTCATTTCAGCTCCCTGCCTATGTCCTGGGGAAGCGGCAGAGGATGGATTAAGTTCTTCAGCCACTGCAACCATTTAGGTAACCTCGAGAAAACTGCTGCCTCTTGGCTTTGGATTGACAGCTCTGGCTGTTGTGGCCATTTGGAGAGAGTAGACCAGCACATGAGAGTTCTCATTCTCTCTGTTTCTCCTCTCTTTCTGTAAATCTGTCTCTCAGATAAAAAAAAAATAGATGGATAAATAGAACAACTAATTGACCTTTGGGAAAAGTTTTGTCTAAATAAACAAAACCAGAAATTATGAAGATAGCACCTGCATGATTAAAATTCAGATAATACTTTATCATATCATTTGTGAGGCTACTGAGTTTGCCTTTCTTGTGCCTATTTTTTGCAATGAAAGTGAAGACAGAAGACACAAAACAGAGAAAGTTACTTGCACAATGCCGAGAGCAAGAGCAGAATCAAACCAGACTTCAACAGTCCCCCAGAGACGTGTCTGGATTCCCAGCACACTTAAGGCTGGTCTTCGTAGGCATGTGGGTCACCCACAAGCATCACCACATGGGTTGCAAATTTTGAGACGCTGTCTCATGTCAGAGATAGTCATTTTTCAAGAAACATCAGCTGATTTGTTATTTTCCTGCATTTCAAAAATTGGCAAGAATTACTGATTCACTTCATTCCTCAATGCAACAGTTATGTTACCTAGTACCTCTCCATTCCCACTTCTTAACTTCCTGCAAGTTCTATCCCAGCCTTCATCCCACCAAAATATACTTGACTAAGCATAGTTCTCATATATTAATTTAAAAAATATTTGCTGAATTTCAGTGTCTATATCCAGGAAAATAGAATACCTAAAAGGGAGCTTCAAAAAATTTTCTATAAAACTAGAAGTAAAAGATAGCATGCACTTCCATGAACTTGAAATCCCCTGCATTTCTTTTCTTTTTTTTTTTTCAAATAGTCTTGGTGTTTGTAAGCATCATGATAACTTCAAAATATCAATCATTTCAATTATTGCTCTTGCTGATGATTGATAGATAATTTTTTAGGCTGCAGCTGTCAAATATGATAAAATTATTTCCTGAATTTTTTTGTAATTATATAGAAATATATTTTCCATAGTTATACTAGAAATAAGTTCCCACACCTAGTAATGGGAAATGTAAATAGTATTTATGCTTACTTTGTTTATAGTATTTGGTAATAGAATAAAACATCCTAGGAAAGCATCTTAACAATGAATAACTCTGATTGATATTGTAGAAAAAGAAAATCACATTGCAGAATACATCCGATGGAATAAAACATTCCTTCCAGACAGAAAGCAGTAAAGTTTGCCAATACCTGCTGCACCTTTGCTCTTCCCAGCATAAGTTCCAGCTACAGATGAGAGCAAGACAGAGCAACCAAGATGCCCAAGAGATTGGTAAGGAAGAGACTGTTTCGGAACACTATAGGTTATATGCATGACTTTTACCATAACTTCTAAAGGAACTGCATATTCAGTTACCAAGTATACACGATTTAAATAACTAAACCAAGTCCATAAAGGTATCACAAATGTAGGTGAGATTCCAATTTCATGTTCATTTAGGAAAAAGTATCCCCAAGCTGAAGCATCTGTTTTATACTTAGCAATTGACTGGTTCATGTAAATATTATAAATATTATAAAATTTGCACCATGTTGTCTACCCACAGTGAACTTACCAAGTGACAAGGTAAGACCAACATACATGCAACAATAATGCAAAATGGAAGGTTCCAAATTTTAATGATGAATTATATCATTCAGACTCCCAGGTGGATAACAGAGGTTAGAGTACTGGAGAATTGGTATTTAGATTGGATTTAAAGGAGAAAAATATTCTAAGTAGGTTGGAAATAAACAAAAGTTTTCCAGGTGAAGGAAGTAGGAATCAGGCAGCGGACGCAAGCACAGTGGAGTCAGAGTGTATGCACCTAGGACAATGAAAAGGCCATACAGTCTTGTGGATGGCAGATGGATCACCTGGTAACTTGGTGTGCATTCCTGTTCTGATTTTGAGATGAATAATCACAGCCCCCAACACAGAAAGTCAGGAGAGTGGTTCCACTTGCTTTTGAAAGAGAATCAACAGGAAAAAACTCAGTCACACCTTAACTATTTAAAACTTACTTAACAAGACCAGGTGTACAGATTAAAGTTATGCAAAATCCAGCTCTTCACAATAAATGCTTGTAGAGTTAGGTGAAGTATTCCAAAGTATGCAATATAAAAATTTGGGGAAATAGCACTTACAAGGAAATTTTAATTGAATTTTCTCACATTCCAAAATCTTACAGAAAAATATTTTCCCTATAGAATCAGGCTTGAGTGATGACAACTTATGAACAGACATTTCTCAATCTTTCTTTTTTTTCTCCCCTGAACCTTTCAAAATTGAGGTGGCAGTGGGAGCCATATATTTATTTAATAAGAAGATTCCAGGAAGCTGGAACTTAGAAAATTCACAATCTTTGGGAATTGGATCCCTAGTTGCATTTTAGCAGCTTTTCGCAAGTGATGTTTTTTAAGCTATTGAAATATGGTAATCATTGCTGTAAACTAATTTCATCATTATTTTCCATTGCCTGATGTCCTTTGTTAAAAATGTACATGCTCTTATATTTTAAAGTGTACTAAATCAAACCCGTTAAGATTATTGGTATTCTCATCTGGGCCAATTTCTATTCAGTAGAAATAAGAATTGAGCAGTGGAAAATCACATCATTATAGACATAGTACAATGAACCAGGAGTCAGAAGACAAAAGCATGAAGCCATCCTTTATCCTCAGTGTGATATTTTACAACATGAGCTCTGAAACCAGACTCCCAGTGTTCAAACCAGACTTGTACTCTTTACAAGCCCTACAGCGTTGGGCAAATCACTTAAGTTCTGTGCCTTTGTTTCTCCTTCCATTGAATGAGCATCGCAAGGTTAAGAAAAAATAAATTCATACATAGAGAATGCTTTGAAATGCTGGGTATAGAGTATTCAGCAATTTTTTTATTGCCATCCATGTTATTTTACTAGAAGTAGCAGCAGCAGCAGCAGAGAATAAGACTATTGTACTGTATACCACTGTACTATCTTGCAGCAATTGTGGTGCTAGTAACTGAATAATCTTAGACTTCTTGCAGTCTCATTTTCTTCATTTGTTTAGAGGTAAACTCTGTATGTCTCAGGTTTAATCCTAGAATCACAATAGTTATATATCCTTAGATTGAATGTGTGAAGGTACTTTATGATAATAACAATGCATATTTTTACAGATATTTTTAGATCTACCAAAGAATTATTTTATACTTAGAATGAGCTTAGAAATAACTATTGGCCTACTTAACTGTCTATACTAGACAATTGAAGATAACATGTTACTTCTAGGAAATTTATGACACAACAAATGCATGGTACTTCTTTAGATTGTTAGAATATTGGTGCCAGAAAAAGAACATAGTATAGTCCAAAATCTTACTGAAGAGGAAACAAATTCAAAGAAAGTGTCTCACCATACCTCATAGCTAGAGCTCAGATTAGGAAACTCTGTTCTCTTAACCCTCTGTCTGATGAATTCCTTGGGAACTGATTTGCAAGGAATTAAATGAAGAGGAAAAAAAATCACTTATTGAAAGTTTACTATTCATAAATGCTGAATACAAAGGGATAATAAAAATAAAGTGTCTCTTCAGAAAAACATAACAGCTCAGGATAAAGAAAGTACAAAATTATACAAGGAACTGAGTGAAACCAGAAACAAACTAACAAGGATGGATCGCCATTAGAATGTGGAATTTAGGAAGCCTTTGAGTTCAAATTGGAAGCATTAGAATTAGGAAATTGCTTGATTCTAATGTGATTTTCCAAATAGATGGTCCTTGCTGCAGTCTGTCATATGTGAAAAGTAGTAGGACAGACTAGATAAGTAGATGGCTTATGATCCCTATGTGCAGTATTTCAAGTTCTAGCCATCTGAATGTATTTGAATGACGTAACGCCTGACTCACAAAGCAGAGAAAACCTAAACTGAACTGGCTGTCTTCATTGCTCCCAAAGTTTAGGCAACGTCTTCCTTACAGAGAGAAAAGTCTATTGAATGTAAAGTTAGTTCCTCATAATTAAAACAAAATAAGACTCCATTTTACTTCTTTTGATTAAAGACTGCTCTCTAGAAAAAGTTCTGTCTGCTCTGATATCAATTCCATATTTTCAGGTAAAGATAATTTGGAGAATTTGAAAACCATGTCTACTTTAATGGAAAACATTAGATTAACCTTGTGACAGTGAGATATATTTCATTATGATGCATGGATATTAGAATTTAAAAAATATTTTCCTTTATAGTTTCTACCTGACATAAAACTTCAGATCTTCCTAGGAACTACAATGCAAATGTAACAGAACATAACGATGGATCTAAGCCAGTAATCATTTGAGTGTTTATTGTTAAAAGTTTTCTCATCATTCCTATTTAGTGGTCAAACTTTATTTCATGTACAATGAGTTGCTGCCTTCCAAAGGGGAACAAAGTGAGTTCCTTGTTGTGTGAGTCACCAAATACATGAGCAACTATATGGTACTTTAGCTACATATGATGCGGTGCTTTTGCTAATAGCCTCAAATATGAAGTATCTTTAAATTGATCCTCCAAAGATGACTTTAGAAATACATTTAGAAATACATTTAGCAATGTAAGCATAGAGAGAGATCTGCACTCCCTTAAATCACGTTAATTTACAGCCATAAAGACACAAAGAAGATTTGTACTGTGTGGTTCTGCCATGATTCCTTTGTGATGTTGGTGTAACAGTGAAATACCAAATGATTTGCTGAAAAGTTTCCTTTTTTGGCGGGGGGGAGTTCAGTATTATCGAGGTATAATTCACATTCTATACAATTCACTCATTGAAAGTGTGCAGCTCATTGATTTATTCTTTCAGAATCATGCACACTGGTTCTGCTACACCTTAATCTTTTAAAAATCTAATAATCAAAAACCTCTAGCAAAAGTTTCCTTCTGCACAGCTCTTTTTTAGACATGTATTCACCATATCCACCCATCCAGGTTTCATATCTCCCTCACCCCATGCTTGGTTTGTTGTTTTATCAGACACTACTAGAGTTGAACATTATCTATTAAACGTCATCCTCATTTTTGAGATCTGTAAGGTCAACAGGCTTGAGCTCCAAATATTCTTGGATCCATAGGAATCATTAGATGAAGTAGAAATCACTGATTCAACTGTGACTGAGAAGAAGCTACAGTGGTGGAGAGAGAGAGAAAAAAAGGATCTTTGGGCTTCCTTTCTAAAACCCCTGGTTGCCACACTTTGAAAGCTGTTTATGCTGATGATCAAAATAATTGAAAACTGCATGCTGTATTGAATTTATTAAATTAACTCTTCTCATAAAGGTACTGCGGTTTTTCCATCGTGTAAAGCAATCCTATTTCCTTGTAGAGAGAGCTTCGTTTAGGAGCCTGAATCTGCAAGCAGAGTCCGTTAGAGGATTTAATATGGGACGAGCAATCAGCACTGGCAGTCTGGCCAGCAGCACCCTGAACAAACTTGCCGTTCGACCTCTGTCAGTCCAAGCTGAGATTCTGAAGAGGCTGTCCTGCTCAGAGCTGTCGCTTTACCAGCCATTGCAAAACAGTTCAAAAGAGAAGAGTGACAAACCTTCCTGGGAGGAAAAGCCTAGAGGAATGAGCAAATCATACCATGATCTCAGTCAGGCCTCTCTCTATCCTCATCGGAAAAATGTCTTTGTTAACATGGAATCTCCACCACAAGCCATTGCGGAGTTGGTGGGGAAATCTTTCCACCAGATGGCAAGATCTGATACAGAATCTTTGGCAGGACTCACAAAACTTAATAAGTAAGACATGATTAACTCAAACTTTATGTATTTGTAAATTTTCCATTTCATACATCTGTTTTTCTTTTGACATTTTCTTATTTTCACCATATTTTTTTTTTACATTGACACTTGCCCTCCTCCCTTCCTTTTCCCTCTATAGTTCAAAGTCTGTTGCAAGTTTAAATAGAAGTCCTGAAAGGAGGAAACATGAATCAGACTCCTCATCCACTGAAGACCGTGGGCAAGCCTATGTTGTAGGTCAGCATAAACAAGCTTACCTTTTCTCTCCCAAACCTCATGCTCATAGTCAAGTGAACAAGACCGTGTTAATTATCAAGAAATTATTTGGAGTTCTGTGTTGTAATTGCCAAAACCATGAATATAAACTTTTATTAGAGTAAAGTGACATTCACCAAATCCAGTCATTGATTTAGCAAGTGATTTGCTTCATGAAACAGACCACTCTTAGCCTCCTTTTGGTCACAACAGCTGTAGCAATTCCTTTAAGAGAAGGACAAGCTGGCATTATTGCTTTGGATTTCTTCCTTTGACTCTTCCTCACAAGACCATGTGAGTGAACTCCAATAATGCAGTAGCCTACTGAGAAAGATTTAGTTAGGGTGCTGTCAGCTGAGTGTAATTGAAATTGTTTTTTAAAAAGTTAGATCGTTTTCAGGGTGGAAGGCGGGAGAACATTTGTTATTGAAACAACTGACTTACAGCCAACTGGGGGGAAAATGATCATTTTTTTTGAAATGTACAAAAGATGACATGCTGGGATTAAGCCTCTTTAAGTTCTTTGAAGTAGCTAGGACCTAATAACTTATCTGCAAAAGTTGTGTGTGTTTATGTATATGTTCCAACACTGCTTTGCAAGACAAGTAGATCAAGTATCCGCAACTTAAAACAAAAATGCAGTGGATTTGTTGCGTCAGAGCAGTGGCTATTTAAACACAGATCTTCTGAACTATGACTCTGGATGCCACACAGCCAGGAAGATACAAGGCAAATAAGTCTACCTTCTGTGTTTTACCTTGGTCCAAAGTTTCTTAATTTAGTCATAATTACCCAAAGTTTAGCCTAATTACACTAAGTTTTACAATTACTTCTGGGGCATGTGTGGAATAAATGTAATCAGAAAATAGCTTTATATTGCAGCTTTAAACAATTATGGAGAGTAGCATTGCTTTATTAATGCGGGCTTCCACACCATTCAGATTGTACTATCAGCAATGCAAGGTGATTTTGTTTAAAAATACTTGGACAGATAAAAAACAAAACATCCTATGGGTAACACACACTATGTATGTATTAAAAATAGTCTCAAAAGAACCCTTTAGGAAATACTTTCTAAAGAATGCTTTTGTATTAAAGGATCTCATAAATCCTAAGCTATTTTAATTTGGAAAGCTAAGAACTATATGAGAATTCATCATGTGTCAGAGAGACCTAAATACTCTGGGGAAAAAAAAAACACAGATTAAATAAAAATCACCCAGAAAAAGGACACCATTTTCTGCATTTTTTATTTAAATTATTCATTCATACTTACTGAATTTTGAATTACTTTATTTTCCATGTGAAGTGTTTTTAAAACTGATTTCAATTTCATCATTCCATGTTTGACATATCAAAATGTCACTGTCAGAAACAATACATTTGTGTTTAAATTTATGCTACAAAACAAATGTATAAGCTTAGTTACTATTTAGGAATGGTAAACATGCACCAAGAGAAAGAATATTTTTCTCAGTGTACATGAAAGAAAATGTTGCTGCCTCAATGTTTTGTTGACTTTTGTGAATTTATCAGAAGAAATTGCTTCTGTATCTAGTATCTGAAGGTTTCACTAAATGTCTAATAATTTAATTTATACCACAGGAATGACTATGCATAGTTCTGGAAATACTTCATCCCAAGTACTCTTAAAAGAAAATGGTAGGTTAACAAAATGTTTTTCCCTTGATTTCCATCATCTCTTGTTTCTTTTTAACCTTGTGAGATACCCTCAGACCTAACAACTCTTCAATTCTCTTCCAAGGATTTTAGACCTTACACTGGAGTCAGAGGAGTTTGTATTTTCCCAGACTCATAGTAGTGTAATGGGCCTTGTGAGTTAGGCTAATGTTGATGAATTAAACAAATGGCAAATTAAAGATAAGGGCACTAATTGAGAAACAAATGCAATAGATCAGTTCAGAGATCATTTTGATTAAATGTAGTTTTAACTGAAGCCATTAACTTAAAGATATGCTTGAACTGAATTTTGAAATAAAAAGGATTTATACAGATTGATAGATTTCCAGATTGAAAGCAAAATGTAATGAGAGAGAAGATAACAGAGTCTTTCATATTCCTACCTGTCCTTCCTATCCAGCTTCCTACTAACTTGCACTGCAAGCAGCAGCAGATGTGGCTCTAGTCCTTGGGTCTCTGCCACAAATGGGGAGACCTGGAGGAAGCTCTCTTTTGGCTTTGGTAAAGTAGATCAAGTATCCTTTACCTTCCGCATCTTGAAGCAGCAATGCAATGGAGTTGTTCTTTCAGAGCAGTGGCTATTCAAGCACAGATCTTCTGAACTCTGGATGCCGCACAGCCAGGAAGATACAAGGCAAATAAGTCTACTTTCTGTGTTTTACCTTGGCCCAAAGTTTCTTAATTTAGTCATAATTACCCAAAATTTAACCTAATTACACTAAGACTTACAATTACTCTGGGGCATGTATGAAGTAAATGCAGGTGTGGGCATCTGAGAAGTGAACCAGCAGATGGAAGATCTCTCTCTCTCTCTCTCTCTCTCTCTCTCTCTCTCTCTCTCTCTCTCTCTCTCTCTCTCTCTCTCTCTCCCTCCCTCCTTCCCTCCCTCCCTCTCTCCTTAGCTCCTTTCAAATAAATAAAAATAAGTGTAAAATTTTTACAAAGTCTCAGTGTAGAGATATTTGGTGGCTAGAGTGAGATCAAGAACTAAACAGGGGCCAGTTTTGAGTATTCTCATAAATATTATGAAGAGAATTTGAAGACTTTAAGTGGTTAAATTTATGGTTTTGAAGGAATTTGAGAAACAAATATATAGTTCTCAGTACTTTTCTGAGACATCTGCCTGGATTGTCAGCTTTATTCTCCTCATTAAACTTCATTACTTCATTTAACCACTATAAAAAAAAGAGAAGAGGGGAAGCAAAATTGTAGGGGAAAGATCAGAAATGTGACTTGCATGTCAGTGAATTTAAGATTTTTAAGAATTAGGTTACAAAGAATTTTCACATACTTTATCTTACTTGATCTAACAACTTTGATAGAAAAGAATGTTTTCATGCTATGTATGTGCTACTTTCCTCCAAAACCATTCAGAATCTAATACTCACTCCTCTTTTGAATGAAGACAGAGCAATCTTCCAACTTCCCCAATGCCTGCCACAGCTGAGGTGGGCTGCAGCCAGGAGCCTCTGACATTTGTGGGCTCCCATGTGAGTGGCAGGAGTCATCATCTACTGCCTTATAGGGTGGGCATTAGCAGAAAGCTGGAATGGGACATGAGAGCTGTTACTGCAGCCCCAGAACACTGAGATAGCGAGTGAGCACCCCAACTGGCATCTCAGCCACCGTGCCAGACACCTACACCCAACCCTCATCTCAAAGGTGAACTAACCAGAAGTGTGAAAAAAAATCACACTTATTAACAAAGATAAACTTGAACAAAGATAAACTTGATAAAACTCTCAAATTAGTTCTAAATTTTCCTAGCCTAGGCAAGAGAAAAACATAACAGTAAGTCCAAACCATATTGGAATATATTTGTATGTTAATATTAGCAAACATCAAAGTGCTATCTTGTGTATTTCTAAGAGAAATACGCCTATTAATTGTTCAAGAGAGGAAATTCTTTCTTGGAAATTATTTCCATAAATAAAAATATACACAACATCTTAAGTTCTTACAGGAACCGAAGAACTTTTTCCATTCTCATTTTGTTTTTGAATTTGAAAGAATATCATTATGGAAAACACTATTGAAGTTATACTTGGGCACAAGTTACTAAGAGTCTGCTTTATACTTTTCTGGTTATCAGATTTCTTTCTTAAAAAGACTTACTTACTTACTAATTTGAAAGATCAGCACAGAGAGAGAGACAGAGAAAAATACCTTCCCTCCACTGGTTCATTCCCCAAATAATCACCCAGCCAGTGCCGGGTCAGATTGAGCCAGGAATGTGAACGCCACCTCCGACTTCCTTATGAATAGCAGAGACCCAATTACTTCCTAGATGCATTAACAGGGAGCTAGATGGAAGAAGAGTAGCCAAGACTCCGACTGCTGCTCAAATTGGTGCTCAGATGCTGGCATCGCACAGTGAGTGTTTAACACTCAGCAAAATAGCACCAGCATTCAGATTTCTTATCTGGACTGAATTTGCAACATCTACATATATAACACAACTTAGTTATTTGTCTGTCATGGTAAATGTACATGGGTTAATCATTGGCTGCTTACAATGTGCCCAACACTGTTCTAAGTTCTTTGCATTTATTTCTCATTTGATCCCCATAGCAGCCCAATGACTAGATTACTGTTATTATTTCCTTTTTGAAGGAGAAACCAAAAGCATAGAGGATGAGTTACGCACAAGTCCCAGAGCTAACAAGTTGCAGGGTAGTGTTTTGAACATGGGCGATGTGCCCATGTTCTAATCTGCCCTTCAGATTGCCTCCTGGCATGAAAGTGCCTTCTCATGTGTATGTGTGATTTCTCCCAACTAAACTTTGGAAAACATCTGGGTGATAATCTGTTCAGAGATGAGAACTTGGAAAGTGTTTCAACTCAGGTTCTGATGGAAATCGTCATGAACTTACATCGGCTATCCAATAAGCATATGCACATGAGTTCCTCTTTTTAAACCTTTAGAGGCCTCCTCTCCCAACGGTGCCCTGCGAGGGGTCAAACCACATTTCAGAGGTTTCCCCGGCTTGCAAGCAATACTTTGTATTTTCTCAAATTCCTCTTGGTCTTAAGTAGTTTGAATTACTGCTCTGATGAAAATCAAGTTGTCACATAACAGAGTATGTCAGATATGTTTCTCCAAAAACAACAAGTAGGGATCAAAAACTGAAATTACTTGTCCATATGTCAAATATACACCTTCTCACTCTAATGTTAATGCTTTGCCTGCTGGCCTAGACTATCTGAAGACAATAATGAGTGAATATCAGTGTATAACGAATGGCGTACCATTTATAATACAGCTGAATTATTCAATTCAGTCTTGCCTTTTAGGCCTTCCAAAGATACTTCATTAAAGTGAAACTTGAAAGAGGTGATGGAAAAAGCCACAAGTCTTCTGATATTATACTTTGAGACAGAGATGTGAAAATTATTCTTATTTCTTGTGATTTTCAAAAAACAAGTTGCTCAACATTTCAAAAAACACACTCATTATATTCTTGTGTCAGAGACTAAATTTAAAAAATGCTTAAGGACTGTCCAAAAATTACATAAAATTGATTTTTGTCAGTTTGTTTTACTGTAATTCTCCATATAGTAAAAAAAAAAAAAAAAAAAAAACAATTCTTAGCTAAGTTTTCCTGAGTTTCCAAACCACAGAATACATGCCAGCATTTTATGGGGTTGAACTCAGTATTCTTAACAAAGAAGGAATGCAAAAAACAAACCAAAAGCTCTTGTAAAAATAAGAGTTTTTTTGGTGCAGAGTAGTGTGATACACACACTGAAATAATCTTTTTCCCAATATTAAAATGAATATCTTCATGAGCAATCTAATTCAAGTAATAAGGTGTAGTATGATGCAAACAGATGAGATTTTAAAACACACTTGAAAATCAGATGTCTAAGATCATTATAGTTTCAAATGTTAGTTTTCTCCCCATGAATGTTTAATTGGGACTCATACAAAGCTGAAAATTATCATAAAAATGAAAGACCAAATCGTATTCGTAAAGGATTGAGCAGATTTACAGCAATGAATCATAAAGAAAAGAGTCAATTAAAGTGACGACTGTAAAGAGCTTTAAAGTTTATCCAGCGCAAAGCTTCTTGTTTTATGTATGATTTATTTGGGTCCTAGAAAGGTTTTGTAGCCCCGACTGACTCAATAAATGCTGGCACAGTACTAAAAATCATATATTTATCAAGTTTTCTTAAGCTGTTTCCTGCATTAATAACATTATTGGTAAGTCATCAGCATATGTTATCTAAAGAATGGAAATTTCGGTGTGAGGTTCTTAAAATACTTGCAAAATTTGCTGTGTTTATAGTATATATCAATAGGAGAATCACTTTAAAGATGTAAATATTTGAATATTACTGCTTGTTTTCATATGGTAATTAAACTAATTCAGAAATATGTTGGTATTTAAAATATCTAGCTATCCCATAATCAAGAGATTTATAAACTCCATTCAATCTCCATTGACTTCTGCAGGTATCTCTAAGTTTACTTGGGTTGTCGTTTGTCATATACCCTCAAGTACTGCCTCCCTATTTTTGAAAAACTGATGGAAAAAATATGTTAAGCATTTGTGGTGAGAATTCAAAGATAAATAGAAACTCAGCATGTGCTGAGTGCTGTCTGGTAGCACGCCACTACAAGCCAACAGGCTTCGTTCTTCTGCCCTCACAGTGATAAGTCTTGCATCACCAAATTTAGTGGACACTGTCCCTGTTTTCTTTAAAAAAAAATTGTACTTTGGGGAGTTTCTCTTTTTAGATTTCTTCAGTACCACTGCAACATACAGACACAGACACACACCACTGAAATCTGTTCTGTACACATTTCCCAGAACACGTTCTGCCTTCTTGCCATGCCAACTGCTGTTATTGTACTGCTTCTCTCTGTACGTTCCACCCATGAAACCCCTACCCTTCCTCTTAGGGGGTCTCTCCTTTACTCTCTGCAGGAAGAAGCCTCTCACCATCAGAACCACTATAGCACTTCTTAGGACCTTCTGTAGGTCTTATGCATGGCTTTGTATCGCAGCTGTATTGGTGTTAATATCTGCAGAGCTTTGTTTTATGGTAAAACTAGATCTTTTCTCACATGTGACAGCAACTTTGATTTATCACCTCATTAATTTACTTAAAGAGTCTAGTGATAAACTTTGACAAGAATGCTGCTCAGTAAACATGTGCAGGATGGAAGAAAAGTTGAACGAATGAATGAATGCTGAGATATCAGGAGTAAACCCTTGAATCATAGGAATCTTACTCTGTTGCTTCCAGTTAAGGAAATAAATATGCAAGCAATATATACACACACACTTATTAGCCAAATGAGTAATACAAATAACCAATCCTAATTAACCAGATGTTGAAAATTATTAAAATAAAGATGTGACATTCTTATTCTTTGAATGAGCACTTACGACTTCTGACAAATATTCCTATGCAATCATTTAAAATTAATCAGTTCTATAATGAAAAGCAGAAATGCTTTTAATAGAGCAAGCAAATTTTGTCTCTACAATGCTAACGAAAGTTTAAAAGCTAGCAAAGTTAAGTACTGTTGTATTCTTAGTTGGAATGAGAAACAGAGAAACTCAGGAGCTATTTCTCTCTCCAACCTGTTCTTCTTTCTTCACATTCTGTCTACACTAGGGAATTTTTCTATGAGCTACTTGGCTTTGGACTTACCAAGTACTGTTAGAGGAGTGAATTTCGTCAGCTTCCATGTATCCTAACTGGGTGTCTAAACCTGAAACCCGATTTAAAAAAAATAATGGAAACCTAGAGCAATCATTATCATTGACTCATTTCTGTGGTTGATCTGTTCTGTCTTTCCACCTCCAATGTTGTCACTGAAACACCACACTGATCTCAGTTTCTAAGAAGACTTAACTCCGTATTTGTTTTGTTTTCTGTATGTTGCTCTTTGTTTATTTGTGTGTGTATGTTCTAGCTTAAAAATTGGAGCTAAATACCTGTTTTAGGCCAAAAGAATCTTGGCTAGTGAATAAGATCATTAAGCAAGGCCTAAGTGTATATGAGAATGTATATTTGAAAAATCTATTCATGGATTTCAGATTTTTTCATTTTGGAGGAAACAGCTTTTTTTTTTACCTTTTTTGTTTTATAAAAATTTGCTCACATATCAGGTTCTCAAGCTCACAGCAAGTGCATGTATATGTATTGAACTCTAACTTAACTTTCAGGTCCTAACAGCTCTTTAACTTTTAGTTCCTAATAGTTCTTAATATGTAAGGCTGTTCCTATCATTGTTCAGTGATATTTTTATTCTTTACTTAAGAAACTCATTAGAAATACCAAATTACCTCCAATATCAATTATTGAATTTTGATTTAAAAAAAAGAGAGAGGGGAGAGGAAAAAGAAAAAAAGAAAGAGACAGAAAGAGAGAGAAAGAGAAGGAAGAAAGGAAAGAAATGAGAAACAACAGAATAGTAGCTCATCCACCTCAGGGAGCTAGCAAATTGTACTAACACTGTGCATAAGATGCAAGGTTAGTTTACTCCTGGGATGAAATGTGTGCTTGTTTTGTCAGACTATAGAAATTGAGACATCTTATGTTACATGATAGACCAATTTTAAGTTCATAAATTGTATTTATTATTTTGAAACATGCAGAAATAAGGCTTGTGTTTGTAATGCATGGGAACGTTTAAGGAAATCCTAATATACACAGTAGTGAAACCATGCAGAATTGAATCAGAAGATTTAGTTTACAAAACCGTCTTTCTGAATGTGTTAAACTTACCATCGCTACCACGACCTTCAAAGGCCTGTTTAAAATGTCAGTCTATAGTTGATAATGTGTGTTTCAATATTTTCATTGCTAACTAGATGAATTAAGCTGATAGACAGGGCAATCAAATGCCATGTTTATTGTTTCAATTAAAATATTTGCAAATGATTAGCCTTCTCTAAAAGAAAAAAAAAAAGGAAAATACCTAACTGGAAATACAGAAGTAAATTTTAGTTCCAGTACTGACATTCATTTAAAATCGAACAGCCATTTATCAAGCACTGGCTTGTGGCATTTTACTGAGCAATGATGCGAGCTGTGATACGCGTGAACAACTCAGTTACTCCTCATCTCAAAAGCAATGTTGGTCATTTCTTAGCTTTCCTCATGAGATTGTTTAACAAGTGAGGTATGAAATAAAGAATTTTGAGAATTAGTATGCCAGACAAATCATTATCATTGGTACCTTAAAAAAATAGATCATTTCTCTTTATTGTTGTTTTACTCATAAATTTGCCAATAGTGATATACCAATTATAAATTTTGTTAACCATCTGTTACTGAGAAATTCTTAGTGTCTTGAGCATGGTCAAATTCAGGGAATCAACTGTGATTGTTGAAAGCTCAGCTTTTTTTCTGTTAACTGACTAATCCGGCTTAAAGAATTTAACTCATGTGTAACTAAAATATATTTATTTCTAAAGGAACAAATGTGACATTAATCATTGTGTAAATTATAAATCACCAAAAAAATGAATCCAGTAACTTCAAATTATATTTTAAAGTGACAGAACAGTCTATTAATGACTTTTGTTAACATTTAAATTTATGCAAGCTGAGAATCTTAGTGCCTGAGCCTATTTATTTATTTCTAAAATTATAAATTCCCAATAGATGTGCTACACAAGAGATGGAGTGTTGTGTCGTCACCAGAAAGGGAGATCACATTGGTGAACCTGAAGAAAGATGCAAAGTATGGCTTAGGTAAGTTGCATATTCTTTTTGGTCTGCAAATCCAAAAAGAAAAGGCTGAGAGCATAGCACTGGTGTTGAGACGCTAGTCCCCTTTCGATCCAGATACTGGTGGCCCATGCACAATCCCATCCCTCCACTTTGATACGAAATGCCAACGATGCAGTACCTGCAAGAAACACACCAACTTAACAGATAATTCTACCTACCATGCATCAGCTACCTATTCAACATACTTGTTTCAGGCGTAATATCTTTAAAATCTTTTTGTGGTATGCTATTTTACAGGATTTCAAATTGTTGGTGGGGAAAAAACGGGAAGACTAGACCTAGGAGTATTCATCAGTTCAATTACCCCTGGAGGACCAGCTGATTTAGATGGATGCTTAAAACCAGGTACCTTGCATTCTGATAATTTCTGAAATACTTATTGACAGCCATGACTGTATAGATAGCAAAAGTGGAAATTCAAGCAGACAGACAAAAAAGGAGTGACATTTTTTTTATGATTTAACATGAATTTTTCTTGGCTGTTGAAAACACTGAATTGTCTATTTTTACAGGAGACCGCTTGATATCTGTAAATAGTGTGAGTCTAGAGGGAGTTAGCCACCATGCTGCAATTGAAATTTTGCAAAATGCACCTGAGAATGTGACACTTGTTATCTCTCAGCCAAAAGAAAAGATTTCCAAAGGTAAACTTTTAGATGCTCTTAGATATGTTTTATTTCCCTTTTTACAAGTACTTTACCATGTTGACCCAATAGACTAGATTTAAAGTAATTAAATTGGATTTAAGCTTCTCATTTCATATGCCAGTATAGTCCTGTTCCTCTTCAGTAATATATGCACAAAATGAGTTCATGCTAAATTGATATCACAAAACTGAATTCTGATTACCTGGTGTGTTTTACCTCTTCTTAGGTCAAATCAGAAATAGAATTTTTTTAAAAGATTTATTCTCATTGGAAATTCAGATTTACAGAGATAAGGAAAGACAAAGATCTTCCATCCACTGGTTCACTCTGCAGGTGGCTGCAATGGCCAGAACTAAGCTAATCCGAAGCCAAAAGTCAGGAGCCAGGAGCTTCTTCCAGGTCTCCCACATGGAGGCAGCGTCCCAAGGCTTTGGGCCTTCCTCTACTGCTTTCCCAGGCCACAAACAGGAAGCTGGATAAAAAGTGGAGCAGCAGGACACAAATCAGCAGCCACTTGGGATCCCACAAATCAGCACCAATTTGGGATCCTGGCAAATGCAGGGCAAGGATTTAGCCACTGAGCCAACCCTCCAATCCCCAGAAATACAATTCTTTGTCATTGTGTATTTAGTATGGTTATGCATTGTTTATGTGTGGAATCCTGTGCAAAACTAGTTATAAAAAAGAACATGGCACAGGCGTTTGAGACAGCAGTTGAGATACCACACGGGACACCTGCATTCCCATAAAAAAAGTGCCTAGGTTCAGGCCCTGGGTCAAACTCCCTGCTAATGTGCATACACCCTGGAAGGCAGCAGGAGATGGCTCAAGTACTTGGGACCTTATTATCCTTGTTGGAGACCTAAATTCCCAAATTAAGTGTTGGGTTCCTGGCCTAGCCCAGCCACAGTTGTTACACGCCTTTGTGCAGTGAACCAACAAATGGAAAATCACGCTCTTGCTCTGTTTTCTGCTTTGTAAATAGAGTAAACATAAATATAATGTAAATGTAAATATAAATAAGGAAAATAACAAACTAGAAATTTTAAAACGAGACCATATCATTTTGTCCCTTAATCCTGGCCATTAGCATTTTTAAGAGGCATTTGTCAAAATCAGTAAGTTTAAACCTTACCAGTACCACTGATTAACTGTGTAACGTAAGTCTTCTTGAACCAGTTTTTTGTTTTGTTATTTAAGAGACAGTTATTTATGTCCTACTGTGTCTGCCTTGCATAGAGTTGTTAGAAAATCAAATAGTGGGACAGTTGTAAGAAACACACACAGGCCAGTGTTGCAGCATGTTGGATTAAGTTGCCAGTTTCTTCACCATCATCTCAAGTGAGCATGCTGATTTGAGTGTCAGCTGCTCTGCTTCCAAGCCAACTTCCTAATAATGTGTCATGGAATGCAGCAGAAGATGGCCTAAGTCCTTGGGTCCCAGACCCAACCAAGATTGTCACAGGCATTAGTTGGGGAATAAACGAGCAGATGAAAATCTGTCTCCATCTCTCTTTCTGTTGCTCTGCCTTTCAAATATTTCTTTAAAGAGCTTCATAGAGAGAGGGAGAGAAAGTGAAAGAGAGAACGGTCTTCCAGTCTTCCATCCACTGATTCACCCCCCAAATAATCACAATGGCCAGAACTTGACCAGTCCAAAGCCAGGAGCCAGGAACCTCTTCCAGGCCTCCCACATGGGCGCAGGGGCCCAAGCACTGGGCTGCTTTTTGCTGCTTTCCTGGACACATTAACAAAGAGCAAGATGGAAAGTAGACCAGCCAGGACACAAACTGGCATCCATAGCTCAGTGTGCTATACCTAAGTACAGCGCCTCAATAAGTAAATCTTTTAGAAAGAAGAAGCACATACACCCAGAAATAGGACAGTGCAGTGGGTGGGTGGGTAGCGTGGAGGACTCCATGGTCCAAGCCCGAAATCGGTCTCTGCCTCTTAAAATTATGAATGGAATGAGCCTCATTGTGCTCATCAATCAAATGGTTCCTCAGAAGTGCTTATTGTAGATTATGAAAGTTAAGTAATATAAAAATAAATCAGCACATTGCCAGGTTATATGTAAGGTGTTTCAGCTCATTATACATGTGGTATATATGATGTATGATATCTACATATATGTATGTGTGTGGTGTCTGATATATGCATATATGTGTGGATATATCTTACATGTATGTATCATATAGATATATCTACATTTGGTATATGAATATATATGATATATATTGTGCATTTATCACAACAGCCCTCTCTATAAATTACAGTCTGGTTACCCTAGGCAAAAGATGACTGTAGTGGGGAACACCATCGCATACCTCTGAGAGACAAGTAGCCACAAGCAGAATATTTGCAAGAAGCAGAACACTGAGTTCTGTTACTTGCCATTATTTTAATTTTAAAAAGCATGTCATTTCAGAACAAATCTATTTCACCCAAATAGAGCTCTAAGGGATTTTCATTTTTTGCTTTTACCAGAGATTTTGTAAAGAAGTCACAGATTCATTCATTGAAGGCATATGATGTGTGCAAAACATAAAACCTGTACCCCTATGGAATTTATGCTTTATCAGGGAAGACAAAGTTTTAATTCACTGGATAGTTTTCTTACTCTGACTATAGCAAAAACAAGATTACAAGAGAACATGTAACGGAGAAATTTTACCTTTGCCACAGCTACATGGGATTATTTTATTACTATCTCTTCTCAGGAGGTAGAAAACACACAGCACATCGTTGATCAACAGTGAGACTGTCTTCATATATATATATGTGTGTGTATATATATATATATATATATATGAATATGTGTGTGTGTGTATGAGCTATTTGTATCTTTACTCCAGTTTTCCTGTCTACATTCTTGTTACACAGGAGTTTTTCACACGTTTTTCCTTGAAAATTGTGTATATTAGTGATACTCTTTGGATACATATAGTCTGATTAAACAATGTAAAACAAATGTGCAAATAAATATTAAATAAGTGAGGAATAAAGGTGTTGGAAATTCAAAAAAGTATAAATTATCCTTGGACTCAGGAAACTGATTTGAAATAGGATTTGGTGAATGAAAGTGAAGAACTAAAGCAAAAATAGGTACACATTTCAACAGAGGTGACTGTTGCAAAAATGACCAAAGGGAGTGACCAAACGTATCACCCTGAGGTGGCTCCAGCCTGAGCCAGTTTTTGTCTGTAAGATTGTCTCTGCAGCTTTCAGAGAATGTTGCATTTGTGTACAGGCACATCCGTATCTCACTGACTTATTACTTTCATTGATGGGTTTTGAATTTTAGTGCCTTCTACCCCTGTGCATTTTGCCAACGGAGTGAAAAACTACATGAAGAAACCTTCCTACACTCAAGACAGCGCTGTGGATTCTTCTCAAGATCACCACTGGCCACGGGGTACCCTGAGGCACATCTCAGAAAACTCCTTTGGGCTCTCCGGGGGCCTGCGGGAAGGAAGCCTTAGTTCTCAAGATTCCAGGACTGAGAGCGCCAGTCTGTCGCAGAGCCAGGTCAATGGTTTCTTGGCTGGCCATTTAAGTGACCGAGCCTGGCAGGACTCCCAGCGTGGCAGCCCTTCCCCATCTGTAATAGCCAAAGCAACTGAGAAGCAGAGGACGTCCACCGACAGTATCCGGAGCCAAGCCAAGCCACCTGGTGTGGTTGATGTGACTGATCACTCAGACCGTGCAGACTCAGACATGGATGAAGCCACCTGCTCCAGCAGTCAGAACCATCAAACACCAAAAAAGGCATAGTCGCTTTTTAATCTTTCAGGTTGTTTTTTTAATTTAACCAGCAACAGCCAGTATGATCCAGAGCAATATAGGCTACAAACTGTTCACATTATTCTGAAAAGAATGATATATATCTTCTGTTACTAATTGCTACTACATTTGCTGGTGCCTTTCAGGGAAATCAGAAGCTTTGAATATTAACTCTAAAATAACTGTAATTTTAAGTCTCACCTTGATAACACAAAGGAAAAAATATTCAGATCATGTTATTTTCCTGTAGATGGTTCATCTCTTACGTATTTAATATTTGTGTTAAGAGAACTTTAGTATTTGAGAACTCATTTCCGAATAGTTCACCTGGGCAGCTGAGTGTAATATTCGCAACCCTAAATTCTTCTAAAATACTTCATGATAGTAACAGCATTAGAAATAGCTCACTCTTAGAAATGTTATAAACATAATCATGGCAATTTTAGAGATGAACCATATGCCTTTTGGTCACTGGAAAAATCGACATTCTTCACACAATATTTTGCCTTATAAATTAAGTTTTGTAGTTTAGCAACTACTGCTTAATATACATTGATTTCTAAAAAAAATAGAAAGAAGTTTGGAATGGAGTTGATGTAAAAACCAGGTTCGTAGAGGGACCCAGGTCTCCTGTTGACATGCCTAACTGTTTTAACCAGAAGTGAGCACTTGTTCTCAGGGCATCAGTTTCTCAGCCTTGCATCTCAGGCATCTCAGGCATCAAATTCTCGGTAGAAGAAGAATGCATTGGGCTAGATGATCTCTTAAGAGCCTACCAATGCATATGTTCTTTGAATATATTCTGTATTATTCCTTAATACCTTGGTTATTTTTAATTTTCCCAAAGAACATACTTATTTTTCAATAAAAACCCATTATGACTCTAACAAGAAATCCCTTTTTGTTTGTTTTTCCTTATTAAGGAATCCTCCTCTTCGGTGAATCCATCCAGCAAAATGAATTTTAAAACTTTTTCATCACCTCCTAAACCTGGAGATATCTTTGAGGTTGAACTGACTAAAAATGATAACAGCTTGGGAATAAGTGTCACGGTACTGTTTGACAAGGTTTTTAAATATTTTCTTCATTTCTGCAGCCTGTCATATGCCAGCCTAAGAGTTTCATTAATTTTACTTCGAGTGGAATGCTTGTCAAAATATAAGCATTGAAGCTTACCTTAAAAAAACTAGAAGTATAATACTCATTTTTTGCCTTTCTCCTATAGACTTCATACTTGCTTTATCTGAATATAAAACTTAAAACACTAATGCATATATGTGTATTTGATAAACTTCTTCATGAACATATAGAATAATGGAATGATTTATTTTTAACCTGCATCATGAATATTGAAGAACTTTCTATATTTATATATCCTTTCTTTTCATCATGTGTCTATAAGAATTTTAGTATCTTAGAATTAAAGGTTCCCATGGAATATATATGTTTGTTAACTAACTCATAAGCCTAGAATATTTAATGAAACTGTTGTAGTTTTGCTGGGGTTTTTTGAGCTTTATTTATTTGTTGGAAAGCCAGAGTTATAGAGAAGACACACACCCTCCGCTGGTTTGCTCCCTATAGATGAGCCTCAGTGAGCAGAGCTGAACCAAGTTGAAGCCAGGAACTAGAAGCTCTAGCCAAGTCATCTTCCGCTGCTCCCCAGGGTCATGAACAAGGAGCTGACTGAGCAGCTGAGCGTGTGGGATGCTGGTGTGGCAAGCAGCAGCTCTACACACTTAGCCACAAAGCCAGCCCCTTTTGTAGAGTTGCATTAATAAAGATACTGTCCCTAACTTGGAATATTTTCATATTTGAAGATTATTGATAATTCTTAAAAGCCACTTAGGAACATCATAGAATAGTACTTTAAATTTAGGTTTTCAAAAAAGAAAACCTAATTTTATAGCACATTTTAAGATGTGGCATTTTTTTCCTTTCCCTTAATTTCTTTAAAATTTTACTGCCTTTAATTGTAAAAGGAGGTTAAAAGTCATATATCTGTAAGAAATAGAAAATTCATCTGATCTCATGTCACATTTTTTAAAATCTTCTCCAAAGCCTTCTCAAATAAAAGCTTATTTTCCCTTGACTAACAAAATTTGCTTTCAAATACACAAAAACAATCTGAAGCATATTATTTTGTGTAATTTTTTTCTGATAGTTATGTCACCACACTAACTTTGCATGGATGGATTTTGCCTTCTGCATGCTCATAGTGCTTGCTGTAGACTGACCAAGAAAGAGCAATCCCTCACATAGTCAGAATCTGCCTTATTGTTGTATTCTGAAGTGAACAGAGTTGTACAGAAGAGAAACTGCTTTGACATTTGGAAAACATAGTTACAGACATTCTTGGGACTTGAAATAGTCTGACATGTTCATATAAATGACTATGTTAGCTGGCAAATTGGATTCTTTCTAGGGATCACATTTAGAGAGTAAGTATAAAATATGTTATTGTTAGGCTCAGCACAGAGGCTCAATGATTAAACATTACAACCTTATAAGTAGCAAGATCCCAGTTGGGCACCAATTCATGTCCTGACTGCTCTGCTTCCCATCCTTCTCCCTGCTTGTGGCCTGGGGAAGCAGCAGAAAGTGGCCCAAAGCCTTGTGACCCTGCACCCACATGGGAGACTTGAAAAAAAACTCCTGGCTCCTGGCTTCAAATCAGGTCAGCAATTGTGGCCACTTGGGGAGTGAACCAACAGAAGTAAGACCTTTGTCTCTCCTTCTCGCTGTAAATCTGATCTGCTTTTCTAATAAAAATAATTAAATATTTCAACATATATGTATGTTATTGTTATCAAATGTTAGTTTTGGCTTTTTAATGTTTAGGGAGGTGTGAATACCAGTGTCAGACACGGTGGCATTTATGTGAAAGCTGTTATTCCCAAAGGAGCTGCGGAGTCTGATGGCAGAATTCACAAAGGTAGAGTGTGTGCATGTATATGAAAATTACATACATAAGTACCATAACAACGAGATAAGAAATCATAAGCTTGGTGTAGACCTTCAAATTCATAATATGAAATAAGGACCTACTCAGCCAGCACATTAAAGCATTTAGAAACTTCCTGCTGCTATTCCAGAAATTCTTAATCAGCTTCTTCTCTTAGACATCTTGTTTGACACATGCTAAGAACCAAATTGCCAGAGAATGGGACAAAGATGGTAAAAATTCTAGCATCTGCACTTCTAACGGATGGACTTTGCTCCATCTCTTTACATTTGCAGTTATCTTTTCTCATGATTTAAATTGATTTGCATATTGATATTATTCTAAAATATACCTAAGGTCTGTGGCCAAAAAATTGAGAAATAAATTAATTGACATATTAAAGAAACTGTATGACACAATTTGGTCCTTAATTTGCATTCGCCTCCTCAATTTTAGATAAAATAAGGCTAGCAAATATTAAGGAACATGTGAAACGTTTATGATCTGTTTCCTTCAACCTAACTGCCTGTTTTCCTATATAGGTGATCGCGTCCTAGCTGTCAATGGGGTTAGTCTAGAAGGAGCTACCCATAAACAAGCTGTGGAAACACTGAGAAATACAGGACAGGTAATAATCAATCATTATTCTAACTTTTTAAAATAAACTTCAAAGAAGATAATGATGTGAATATTATCGATTGCATTGAGATCTCCAGATCTGTTCATTATTCAGGAATATAAGACTCGTATAACCATTCTGGTTGGTGACAAGTACGCTGGCTAACGCAGTTATTATGAGGAGTTTTTTGCTGAGAAAGCTGACTTTCTGTGTAACGTTTAGCCCTGGGATTACCAAAGGGAGCTAATAGATTTGGGATAGAGAGTACGTTTTTTAAAATTGCATAGGGATCAATTAAATTTTAGTGATTTTCAATCTTTGGCCCAAGTTAAATTCATTTTATTCAGATACATTTGGGTCACGGCCTTTGCAAAATTATATAGTTTTAATAGTTTAGTGATGCTTCTCTCCTTGTATCCAGATTTTCTATGACATGCTTATGTTATTAATCATATTAATCATATTTGTGGAATTTGTTCTTCTTAGTTATTTTTTTATAAAGAAACTTAATTTAGAAACTTGTCATTTCTTTTGGTCTCTCTTATTTTTTTTTCTCCCATTACGATTTTGCGGAGCCAATATTTATTTTAAATGATTTTATACCATCAACTACACAAAGTCCTGAGATCTTATCTATTTCTTATTCTTCTGAATTAATGAAGTGTATTCCATTTGTCCAGGTGGTTCATCTATTGTTAGAAAAGGGACAGCCTTCGGCAACCAAAGAACATGTGCCCGTAACCCCACAATGCACCCTTCCAGATCAGGATGCCCAAGGTCAAGTCCCAGACAAAATGGCGAAAAAAACAACTCATGTCAGAGACTACAGCTTTGTCACTGAAGGTCAGGCTTTGGGAAACTACAGTGCTTATCCCTACATGATTTCTGGCTTAATCACGGTTTGATTTTTATGTGTTGGATTATAATGTATGCCTGAATCTCTGAAGATATTTTTCAAGTATAAATAATAATCTTATGTAGCACAAATTGAACTTAAAAAGCCAAATTTGTACTTCATAGAGCCTGATGATAAAATTTAATAATGAAGTAAAAAAAATGATTGTCATTTCACAATACCTTACTTTAAATGGGTGTGAAATTTGATAAGAAAAAAAACATAATTGCTGAACGTGGCTTTAAACTCATATGAAGCCTTGACTGTTTTCCACACTTGTTTATATAGACCTGTGAAGCTAAGCCTAGACAGAAATTAGTCACTGGTTCCCCATATACTTATCTGGCATACCAGTTATACCAATCTTTGATCATCTTACTCATTGGTAGTAAAATCAAAAAGGATGTGGTAGTGATGTTTCATAGAGCTAAATGTGCTGATTATACTAAAGGACCCAAAGGATCCATCCATCTTCCTTTAAAGGGCTTAAATATCCTTTGTAAATGATGGTGATGGTATACAGTCATTTTTTCTTTTTGGTTCTTTATTGATGATACATATATCTGTTTAGTTATTTGATAATACAAATGTTAGGAACTCTGAATCAGTCCCAAAAAAAAAAGAACAAGATAATATTGCACCTGTCCTATTTTTCTTGTTTATGAACACAAAACTCACATTCTCACTTAATTATGCTACCGTTTATTCCCTCCCTCATTTCATATGTTCTTTAATTCTTTCCTGGTTATTGTGCTTTTCACTTAGTTTGTTATACAGAATTTTATTGGAATATCATTGCTGTTTATCTGAATTAAACTATACCTCACCAAGATGACACCGCAGTGTCCATTTATTTTCCTGTATCCTTTTCTGTTGTTTATCTTGCTCTTCTTACCATCACTCTTCCATTGGGCATCTGAGTTTCTCTCATATTTCTCCTTCCCAGGACTCATTCTTTTTCTTCTCTCCATTTTTATTCTGTCCTTTAAAACACATGGGATTGAAGCAAAATTTGATTTTTCAAAAATCTACTATTATATGGACTCTTTTCTGTGCAAATACCTTGGTTTATGCAGTTAGTACACTTTGTTTTTATAAAGGTAAAAATAAGTGAAATAAGGTACAAAAATTTCAGAGAGAACTATAAATATGGGAAATGGGCTTTTTAAATGTGCATAAAACTATATATATATTTGTATGTTCACCTTTTTCATAATATTTCTAATTTTTGTCTCTTTTTCCTCCAGAAAATACATTTGAGGTAAAATTATTTAAAAATAGCTCAGGTCTAGGATTCAGTTTTTCTCGAGAAGATAATCTTATACCCGAACAAATGAATGCCAGCATAGTCAGAGTTAAGAAGCTTTTCCCTGGTCAGCCAGCAGCAGAAAGTGGACAGATCGCTGTGGGTGATGTTATCTTGAAAGTCAACGGAGCCTCCTTGAAAGGACTGTCACAGCAGGTGAGCGCCTCCCCTGGGGAGCATGCCAGATTTCTGTGGTGAGGGGATTGGCTAGTCTGGGACTGGTTTCACTGTGCCTTCTTCTGTCATTCATGATTCCCCAGGAAGTCATATCTGCTCTCCGGGGAACAGCTCCAGAAGTATCCTTGCTTCTCTGTAGACCTCCACCTGGTGTGCTTCCAGAAATTGACACTGCTTTTTTGGTGAGACCTATGTACTTTATATTTTTATGATGTGTCAGTTTAATGGTTTGCCAATTTAGCTATAATATTTGCATCATGGTTTAATTCCCTGGGTGTCAGTCCTAGCTACCTCTTTAACTAGAAGTGTTATCTGGGTCTACTTCTTCATTGAATCAAGGAAAAGTAGTTCTCATTCTAAGCTACTTTGGATTAACATACAAGTTACATTAAATTTTTTAACCTTTGTTTTTAAGCATAGAAATCATAAAGAAATACATTTATTCATTTAGCTTTCTTACATCAAAGAATAACTAAAATATCCAAAAACCTGTTTTGATATTTATTCACAAATTGTGTAATGACAGGTAAGAGTCCAAAACCTAAGTGAGAATGAAGATTATTAGAGAAAGTCTGCCTTTGGCCTGTCTGCTGAAGATAGCATTCTACCACCAATGATCCGTAATTCTTGAGTTTGAAAGACTCCATGCCTTATACCTTATGCTGGAGGAAGTGTTAAGAGGAGATTAATAGAAAAGTAACATTTCTCTAAAAGTGTATTGCATTTTAAGAAGTAAATTAATTTGGGAGATCAGATAAGAACTGAATGGAGCTCTCTTGATGCATAAATTACTTTGATTAATGAAATATTTTAATAGAAAGTGCTGTTATTCAACAGATTTTCTATTGTTTTTAGCATTAGTAAAAGTTATCATCCTCTCTTCTCTTTAAATGTGTCTTTTGTAGACCCCACTACATTCTCCAGCACAAGTGCTTCCAAACAACAGTAAAGATGCTTGTCAACCATCATTTGCAGAACAAGGCACCAGCTCAGATGAAAATGAAATGTCTGACAGAAGCAAGAAGCAGTACAAGTCCTCATCCAGGAGAGACAGTTACAGTGACAGCAGTGGAAGTGGAGAAGATGACTTACTGAAAGCTCCAGCACAGAAAACAGATTTGACCTGGAGTTCAGCTTTGCATCAGACTCTAAACAACATGGTGTCACAGGCACAAAGTCAACATGAAAATCCAAAGAGTCAGGAAGATGCCATCTGTGCAATGTTTTACTGTCCTCAGAAGATACCTGGCCAAACTGATTTTGAGTGCAGGTATTGTCAGTATTATGTATAATACTCAAAACAGCTGGTTGTTAACAGCAGTAGCAGCAACACACATTCCTTGAAGAATGAAATACGTTTTTGTGAACTTCACAGTGATTAGCCAAATGATAGCTCTATCAGTGGTCTATTTATTAGGGCTCACAGCTTTAGTTAGATTACTGATAAACTGCCTACGCAGTCAAGCTGATCCTTACTTCTCCCTTGAACAAGTATACTAGTAATTTAGAAAACTATTTTCCAACACTACTTAACCAGAAAAAGAGACCATTTATTTAGGACACTATGCAGAGGGAGATTATGGACCAGAAGCACATATAGGAAAAAGAGTTCATAATGGCAGGTCATACTGAATGGGGAAAGAAGAAATGAATAAAAGACTACAGGGTTGGCATTGTGGCACATGTTAGGCCTATGCTGAAGTGCTGGTTCAAGTCATGACTGCTCCACTTCCAACTCAGCTCCATGCTATGTGCCTGGGAGTGGAAGGTGGCCCAAGCCTTAGACCTCCTGCCACAGGGAAGACCAGGATGAAGCTCCTTGCTACTGGCTCCTGGCTTCAGTCTGGCCTAGCGTGGGCTGTAGCATCATTTTAAAAATGAACCAGTGAGTGGAAGACTTCTCTCTGTGTATCTTTCTCTCTTTCTCTTTAAGTTAACTTCTCTGTCTCTTCCCTCTCCCATTCTGTTTCTCATTGTCTTTTAAATGAATTTAAAAAAAATTTAAAAACAAAGAAACCAAATCTGTACCTCAAATAATTACTCATCTAATAGTTACTCATCATTTAACTGTGTGAATATATTACTGTGAATATATATATATATATATCCAGATCTACCATGTTTGTACATTCTTATTCAGAATAACCACAGGAGTAAGATTTTGTTCTTTCTCTCCTCTTTTCATTATAATGATGAAACATACATTAAGCTTTGAAAATATTAGCTTCAGCTCTGAATTAATAACTGAGACTCAAAACTATTTTTATTTAACCCCGCTTAATGACTATGTAACTTGCAGAATTTCTTCAAAATAGAACCTGAACAGATTTTAAATAGTTGGTAATATTAGCAAGTAACAAATGTGAAATCAATTCATACTCCAGAGTCAGACAGAAAAGTAGCTGGAATCTCAATGAAAATCAGGAATGAATCCTCGGTAAGCATTTTCTTTTGTGATACAGTCTTACTGGCATGGAAGCATATTTGAAAATGTTTTTGTTTCTTCATCTCTAGTAACCTTCCTTCCCCTCTGCCAGTGGATGTGGCACCTGGGCATAGTGGTCAATCCCATTCAGAATCAGTGAACTCTAACCCAGTGGAAAACTGTGCACACCAGCTTTCTGAAGTGAGTAGACTGGAAAACTTGACAACAACTTTGAAAAATAACCTGGAAAACCACCTGGAAGATTTTGAGCTGGTAAGTTCCTTCTATCTTTTCTCAGTCTTGGTAGTGTTGCCCATTGCATGGGGGCTGTACTCAGAAAGTTGTGGTAAGAAGAAATTTAAATCACTTAAGCAAAGGTTCTAGTACATTACATGATAGAGAACTGAGGCCAAGGAAATATTGTGTTTGGTTGTTTCTCAAATTCTTATGCATTCATTATATAATTTTTAGCCACACCTAATGTAGTTTTTCCCCTCCACACTTTTCTCTGACTACCCAAATGGAATCCTTTACGTTGCACATAGCCCTAGAATTAAATCAGATCTTCAAATATAAAGTCCCTTACATAGAAAAGTCAGAGGTTTCAACACTGTCTTTGTTATCTGTGTAATAAAATTTGTTGTTGAGAAAGTACCAAAAAAAAAGAAGGCTGAAACCATCCATAACCTCACCACTCAAGAATCATAAATATTTTGAGTTATTCTTTCCAGATATTTTGCTTGCTTATAATTGTGTATGCATTATGTGTACATCTTCAATTTCATTCTTAACAGTAAAATAAAAATTATCTTGGATTATTATTAAATTGATTTTCTTAGAACTCTACCATTACCAATATAAGCACGCATGATAAAATGTTGGGGTTCAAAGAAATCGAGTGAAACTCCAAGGAGAATGAAATGATTGTAATTTCCAGTCTGGGGACAATCCCTTGCCATGAACAAGAAGCACATCGAACAAAGTAAATGGGAGTTTTACAGCAATTATCTATGAGGAAATCAATAGCTACATGATACTGGGTAAATACATAATGAGGGGTTATTTTGTGACATAGAGCAGGTAAAACATTTACAATGTTTAGGATCTGATCCAATTACTTCAATAAAAATTTACAATGCAAAACCTCAGGATTCCAAGCCTATCACTTCAGTGTAGACAGTAAACAGCATGCATCAAAGGTTAACTGTCCTTCCTGGGAATTCTAAGAACTCCAAGATCATTCCTATCTCCCGTTTGCTTCCTGCTGTTTCTGCAAGCAGGGTTTTTCCCATGACAGGATGCAGGTGTTTCTTAGGAGATTCCAGAGTTACAGGAATACATTCACCTTGACAATTAACCCTATCAATAAAATGTCTTAGAAATTGTTTTTGTTTGCATTTGTAAAGAAATGAAGTTGTGATACATAATCACCCAAATTTTTCACGTTTTTACCAAAAATAACAAATAACACTTCCTTTTACAGCTCTTGCATGTGTCTTGGTTGTTTGGAAACATGTGAAGAATTTTTCTGAACCTTTACCTCTAAAAAAAATTCCTTGATTATCTAAGTATAGGCACTACAGTATGCACATTTATTCTGAGTGTAGATGGGAGCATGAGCAAGCCCTTTCTCTGCTCTGTCTAGTCACTCCCACAATGTTGAACTGAGACCCAGCCTTGACACGCAGGTCAGAGTGGGGACACCTGGCTGCACTGGGTCAGGCTAAGTCATCACTTAGGGTTTGGTTTTTCTCCTCTGTGAATCAAGGGAAAGAATAGTCATCTTTCTGTTTGTCTGCAGTGCCACACAGGCAACCTTAAAGGAGTCACTGTGTTCTTTCCTTAGGAAGTAGAACTGCTAATTACCCTAATCAAATCAGAAAAAGGAAGCCTGGGTTTTACAGTAACCAAAGGCAGTCAGAGCATTGGTTGTTACGTTCATGACGTCATACAAGATCCAGCCAAAGGTGATGGAAGGCTGAAACCCGGAGACAGGCTCATAAAGGTGAGACATGCGAGAGGAACACAAGTTTTGCACAAATGTGGTTGAACAACAAACCAGGACTGGGGAAGGAAGAAGGTTGAATTAAAAAGCATTTGGCTTGTTTTCCTTCTCCATCACTTAAAAGCCTTTCTACAGTTAACAGCTTGGGAAATTTTTGGTCAATTTGTATTTTTTTATTGCTATCATTTTCCATGATTCAGTTTTGTAAATACAGGTTTTCCTCCCCTCCCCTCCTTTCCCTATTTTCCCCAGTGTACCTTGACGTTCTAAGTATAGGCGAAGGTAGAAAATCCAGTATCATTGCTGTCAAAGTATTTTTAACTGATTCATTGAGAATTCTTTTCTTCAGGAGTTTGACATCTGTTTCATTTTTAATTTAAAAGTCCCCTGCATTCAGTTAAAGCATAAATAGCTATATCAAGTCTAAGAGAAAAAAAAATGTGTTAAGTTACTAAGAAGATAAATTTTCTGTATTAGTGAAATAATGATACGTGTATTAGGAGTTTTACATTATTATATCATTTGTAATAGCTTGATCATTGTGTTTATAATATAAAAAAAAAGGATTCCAATAAATTAACCACTATTCTTCCTTGTGAATCTCTTACTAGCTGACACATATAAAAGATTAAAAGTACTATTGAATTTTCCTGGCAGTTTAATTTCTCTGTTCTAAAAATTGTGACCCTCACTTGTCCCTTTCTGACTTTTGTAGGTTAATGATACCGATGTTACAGACATGACTCACACAGATGCTGTGAATCTGCTCCGAGCTGCACCCAGAACAGTCAGGCTAGTGCTTGGACGGATTCTAGAATTACCCCGGATGCCAGTATTGCCTCATTTGCTACCTGATATTACATTAACATGCAACAAAGAGGATTTGGGTAATGAAAATTCAAGCTCAGAGCGGTCTGATTTGCTTGGCTGAATTAGTATATATTCTTATGACTGAGAAAACAAATATGCCTTTTTTTTTAAGGTTTTTCTTTATCTGGAGGTCATGACAGCTTCCATCAAGTGATATATATTAGTGATATTAATCCAACATCAGCTGCGGCCACTGAGGGAAATCTCCAGTTATTAGATATTATCCATTATGTGAATGGAGTCAGCACACAAGGAATGACGTTGGAAGAAGCCAACAGAGCCTTAGACATGTTCCTTCCTTCGGTGGTGCTCAAAGCAACAAGGTACTCAGCCATTCTTTGTGGATTTCATTTACGTGTGTGCCTGCATTTCAGGTTGTCGATATGCTTACAAACCCAAAAATAGTCATGGATTAGTAATTCACAGACTAAATTGGCAGTGCTTAATAAAATTAGAACAAGTTTCCTAGTAAAGGGATCCTAAGAACATGAAGTGGATAAGTGTTTGAACAGATGTTTGCAATTAACAATAGTTACTATAGCTATCAATTAGGATGTCCTCAATTACAAGTAACAGAAAACACAAGTGAATTTTGTTTGAACTGGAAAGGGAATGTGTTAGTTTCTATGACTTGGCAAGCCCAACCATAACTTAGTCTTCAGATGAAATTTGATCAAAGTTTCAGCTACATTGCTTTGTTATTTTAAGTTATTCTTTTGCACTTTGTATCAGTTTCCGATTTTTATAATAATCTAATGACAATCTTAGTTTCAAGCCCAACACCTGCATACCACACCATGGTGAGCAATCTTCAAAAAGAAATCTCACAAGTCACCACTGGTGAAAGCAAAGCTGTGTACCAGTTGCCTTAGACCTAAATTAAGGTCAATCCCTAACTTAAAGCAAAGGGATAAAAATACACTGAAATCCTGAGCTAATCCAGCTTAGACACCATGTCTATTACCAGAGAGGAACTGGCACCTTCACTGAATTTCATAAAGGCTTCACATTATGTTAAAAAAAAAGGGAGGGTGGGGGACTTCTCTCTCGCTTATGATAAAAAAAAGAAAACACATGTATTGATTTCTTATTGCTGCTGCAATAAATTATAAATTTTGTAGCTTAGACTACAGTGGCATTATCTTAATAGTTCTACAGGTCAGAAATGCAAAATGGGCCTCACTGGGCTAAAATTAAGATGGCTACAAGGCTGCATTCCTCCTGTAGGTACCAGAAGAAAATATTTTCCTGCCTGCTGCAGCTTCTAGGAACTGCCCGTGTTCTTTGCTCCTTTCTCCTTTCAAGGCCAACAGCTGGCACGTTCTCTGCCTCTGTTGTCACCTCTCTCTGATTATAAATTTCCTGCCTTCTGTTTTCACATGTTTTAGGGACCCTGTGATTGCACGAAGATTCCAGCAAACCAAAATCATTTTCTCATCCCAAAATCCTAATCACATCTGAAGAGTCTCCTTTGCCATGTAAAGTAACATAGTCACCAGTTCCAAAGATTAGTCCATAACCATTGGCATATACACATCTCCGGAGGGCCATGATGCCACCAGCCCAACATACAGGATTTCATACTCTCTAAATTACAGACCAAGTTAAATGAATTTGGGAAAATTCATGTTTGTGTCTGTGAAATATTGCTTTCAAATTGTGAGAATTTATTAATTGATGGTAAACATCTGTTCTTTCTGAACCTTGGATTTAGGTTTTATACTTTTTCTCTTGAATATAATCTCTGATCTGATAGCATTGTATGTTTTTGACAATTGAATTGATTTACAGTTATTTCATGTATTCATTTAAATGTTATTTCATGGGGAAAAAGTCTCACTATATTCTGAAGAGAGAGGGAATGTGTGTGTGTGGGTGTGGGTGTGTAATATAAGATCTAGTGGCCGTTGTTGGGCCCTAAGAGATGAGCTACCACCTGCAATACCATCATCCCATTTGGACACTGGTTCAAGTTCTGTTTGTTCCACTTCCCATCCAGCTACATGCTGAAGTGCCTGGGAAAGCAGTGGAAGACAGCCGAAGTACCTAGGCCTCTAGATTCAAAAGCTTCTGAGAATTCTGGCTGAAACTTCATGGCCCTAGCCATGCCAGCCGTTTAGAGAGTGGACTAGGTGCTGGAAGGTTCCTGCTTCTTCCTGGATCTGGCCCCAGCCAAGTTCTCCAAGTTCTGGCTGTGGCACACAACTGAAGAGCGAACTGATTTAGAGGATGGAGGGTTTTACCGCACTTACAAGCTAGTAAGCTAGCCTATTACTGGCTAGCTTATTTGTGAATGCACCAGAGGGCAGGAAGCTTCTGAGCAGTGATCTTTGATCTCTGTGTTACTAACAGCACAGCTGTGTTATACATGTCAGTTCAATAAATCCTCCAGGTACCATAGACACGATAATGTGTGCATCTAATAGGTCTGCACGTGGTGTGACTTTTTTTTATTTAAAGCAGAGGATCCTGGAATAGCAGCCATTTTATAGCAGCCTGTAGGAATGCCTGTTTTTGTTTGGAGAAAGTTTATTTAAGGCTGTTTATCACAAGCAAAACTATGAGAAATGACCCAGATACACAGAAGTCAGAGCTTTGCATTTTGGGGCTACCCAGCAAGAATATAAAGTCAGGGATGTTAAACATCTGTAGCATATTGGCTCTCCTAACTCTGTGTACCTTAAGCAACCTCCTACTTCCCTCGAGTACCAGCAATTATAAGAGTGTATACGAATCCTCTCCTTCCAAGGGACTATCCAACTATTGGTTGCTTCTCACCTTGTAATAGACTATTCTTAAAATCTTTTTACTATAAATGTTCCATCTAGATTCTTCCTGTAAATAACCTAAGAGACACATAAAAAATTTAAAAATCAGCTAATTCCTGAATGTATAACAGAAAACACACAGAAAAAGCTTGTACTTTTTTTTGTACACAGAAATTGCTGTGCTAGATCTACTGACAGTGAGCTAAGTTAGTACATTATAAATATTACCAGTGTTTTAAAATGAGAAAGGAAATGGGATTAAACTGAAACCCAAAGAAAGATTGGGCAATGAAGTGATTTTCAATCTTTTTTTCTATCAAGAATATCTTCCTTCAGAAAATGCGTAATCTGCAGCTTTGGGAGATACCTAAGTCCCCTGAAATCCACTCAAAATAGAACTTCTGGGCACAGCACAGTAGTCTAGCTGCTACAGTCCTCGCCTTGCATGTGCCAGAAACCCATATGGGCACCGGTTCTAATTCCGGCAGCCCTGGTTCTCATCCAGCTCCTTACTTGTGGTCTGGGAAAGCAGTAGAGGACAGCCCAAAGCGTTGGGACCCTGCACCCGTGTGGGAGACCTGGAAGAGGCTCAGGTCTCCTGGCTCAGGATTGATGCAGCTCTAGCTGTTGCGGCTGCTTGGGGAGTGAATCATCGGATGGAATATCTTCCTTGCTGTCTCTTCTGTCTGTATATCTGACTTTCCAATAAAAATAAATAAAATCTTTTTTAAAAAATAGAACTTCTGAGGTGAGTTGATAGATAGTTTAAAGGATATTTAAACAAAGATCTGAAATAGCTTGCAAATGTCTTTTCATTTTTTACAACCCAGAGATGGCCATCCAGTGATCCCCAGTGCAAAGATGTCTGTTGTTTCCAGTCCAGAGTCATCCAAAACTCATGGTAAGGATTTGTTCATTTTTTTACCATAATACTTATGTGGCAATAACTAATCTTTTGTTCCAAACAGCAAAATTGGATGGTGTCACTCATGTGTTTGTATTACCTTTCCAGAATATGTTGCAAGATCTAAGTGAAAAAATTATTTTTACAGGAAAATGCCTTCGAAATTCAGTCTATAATAGAGAAATAGTACAATGGAACAGACTATGGAATGTAGAGCCCAATAGACTTGAGTTTCTAAGTTCCATCTACCCTTAGCAAACTTTAATCCATTCATAAGCTTCTGTTTCCTATCAGAAAAATAAGATTATTAGTATCTGCCTTGCTAGGATATAAGGCATAAACGTGGCTTATTTGTGAAACACCATGATGTTTGTCACATATGTGAAACACCATGATGTTTGTCACATATGTGAAACCCTGCGATGCTTGTCACATAGGAATTTATTCAGACAGTTACTGAATCTATACTCTGTAGTAGTTGCTGTTCTGATCGTTGTAGATATAACAACGAACAAAGTATCTGACTTAACATTCTGACATAGTAATAAAAATTAGTGGTAGTAATAGTGGTGGCAACAGCTGTCATTCATTTAGTGCTTATTCTAAACTAAATGTTCTTCTGAGTGTTTTCATCCTCACAGCAACCCTGTGATACTAGTATTAATATAATCTTCAGGAACCAAGGCACAGAAATTTGATAACTGGCCTAAGTTCAGAGTTAATAAGGTTAAGTGCCAGAACTGAAACCCATTCAGTATTCCATACTCATTTATGTGAATGAGCCCCATAAATATACTTGTGATTGCTAGTATTTGCATAGTAAAAAAAAAAAAGTTAGCCAGAAGGGGATGTGGTTGAACTTGGTACATTCAAAATGTAAATTGAGTACTTTCTGCATTAACTAATATTTTAGATTTTCAGATAACACTATGTAAATGCCAGCAGTAGCTAAAAGAACCCTTCCAAAAGCCAGAGTTTCTAAATGCTAAAATCTGTGGTTCCATTTTCCCACTGTATGTAGTTCCCCAGTACATTGAAGTCAGGCTATCTCATCAATCAGGAGGATGTTTTTCTAGTGATTGCCAGTATGATTCATGTTTGTATCTTTCCATTGCCCTGTGCCCCTGTGCACCTCATGATCTCTGTGGGGTAATATAATATAATATAATATACTCTTGTGTCAGGAATAAAAACTGGCAATCATTTTGGAAAACAATTTTTAGAAAATTTGAACATGTAAGTACAATATGATCCAGCCATTCAACTTGTAATTATTTACTCAAGAGAAAAGTTGTCATATATTCATGTCTAGAAATTTGGACAGAAATTTTCCCAGAATATCTACTTGCAATAACTAAGGTTAGAAGCCTCAAATATCCACAAGCTGTTGAATGGATAAAACAATTGTAATATATGCATAAAGCTGACCCTGCCAAGGCAACCACAGAGAAGAGTCGAAATTCAATAAATCTACAGCAAGCTACATTTTACATTGGAAATTTTGTGTGGCTCGTGAATGATGTTATAAACATTCAAATGGCACTTGGCGGAAAAAAAGGTTCCTCACTCCAACCCCCCAGTGGTACATGCAACAGCATAATTTTTAAAAACTCACAGCAAGTTTGCTGAGTGAAATAAGCCAGACCAAAAAAGAATTGACTCTCTGTAATTCCATTTATACACAGTTGTATTCATTACAACTTATAGTGACAGAATGTGGATATGTGGACACCTGGGGATATGAGTAAAGGAGGTAGTTTGGAAAACAGGAAGATTACGGGCCCGGCACCATGGCCTAGTGGCTAAAGTCCTCGCCCTGAACCCGCTAGAATCCCGTATGAGCACTGGTTCTAGTCCCAGCAGCTCCACTTCCCATCCAGCTCCCTGCTTGTGGCCTGGGAAAGCAGTCGAGGACAGCCCAAGGCCTGGGGACCCTACACCCACATGGGAGACTTGGAGGAGGTTCCTGGTTCCTGGCTTCGGATTGGCACAGCTCCAGCCATTGTGGTCACTTGGGGAGTGAGTTGTCAGATAGAGGATCTTTCTCTCTGTCTTTCCTCCTCTCTGTATATCTGACTTTCCAATAAAAATAAATAAATCTTTAAAAAAAAAAAGATTATAAAAAAATGCTGTTTTATTCTGTGCTATACCAAGAAGATTTAACAAAGTTTATTATTGGTATAGTTCCTTTGTTATTTTTTCTAGAAATGTAATAACATACTGCTTCCAAGTAATATTTGAAGACATTTTTGAGTTCTTTGTAATGTCAGCTACAAAACTATAGAAGTTATCCATAAAAATCCCATCCAGCTTTTCATCTTTGCGGCATTATTATTTGTATAGGTCAAATGGAGGTCATTGAACAGAGGCCCTCGAATACATTTTACTGTTTCTTGTTTTTGCTGTCATTTGTTTTAATTTTTCCACACTCTACTATACCTCTCTAAATATCTTCAACATATGATAGGATGAATCAAAGAATGTGTGATTTTTTTAACTGTTAGAAAAACATGATCTATTTACTTTTAATGTAGTATTAGATCTTTTTATTGACAGCTAAGAGGTAAAATAAACTATTTTTATTTAGAGATACGTGGAAAATCCTTTTGAGTTATATCCATAACATGTTTTCCTTACTGACATGCCAATCTTTATGAAGTGAGATAATAAAAGTGTGTTATCTTCTTTACATCGCAAAGTGAAAAATAGTTTAGCACCTGGGATAACTCAGCCTTTCCACTAGGTTAATTTATACTTAGGGTTGCACACTTGAACCATTCAGTGAGCTTTTTTGGGAGGGTGGGCCGCTTATTCCTTTGGATAGTCCCTTCTCTAATACCTGGTTACATGTAATTGGTTTAAGATGCTTTGTAATGTGACCTCCTTTCATATAGTAATAAAAATGGGAGCATCCTCAAACGTGGAATTTCTTTAATCATCTGGGTGTCTCTGCTGTGGTTTTAATCAGCTCATCCTCCTATTTCCTCTGTTGTTCCTTTGAGGACATCACCATGTGGAACCTTGTGGCCAGCCTGGCCTCACTCCTCAGAAGTCTCTCTCCAAGGTAAGTCAAAGGCCTCCTTCTTTCATCCTTCATCTTTCATCTCCCCATCTAAATCACCGACCTGTTTGTGTCTGGAACCAGTCTGATTTCATATTTAAATATTTGCACTTTGTTACACACATGTAAAGCTGTATTATGGTGAATTAATAGACTTTGCTAAATAAAGCACACAACCTAGAGCCCTCACGCAAAGAACCCAGCATCCTTTAGCAAACACTCAGCTCCTAAGTGAGCTAATAACAAAGATGATTTTATTGCTAAGGGGTTTTTCTAATTATTATTATTATAAATATGCACAGTTCTTTTCACATGAAGAGAAGAATGTTAGAATGGAATTGCTCTCCTGGGTTCAGATTGGCCCAACTGTGACCTGAACATGTTCAGTTTGTACTACTAGTGAAGAAAAAACAGTAATGGCTAAAGAAATGTTTATTTGATCACAAAATGAATTAAAACCGGGAATGTTAATCATTTAAGTTTTACCACAGGGGCTGACACTGTGATATACTGGGTTGAGCTTCTGCCTGCAACACTGGCATCCCATCATGGGTGCCAACTTGTGTCCTGGCTGCTCTACTTCCGATCCAGCTTCCACTTATGACCTAACAAAGCAGTGAAGGAAGGCCCACGGACTTGTACCCATGTACCCATGGGCCCTTGTACCCGTGTGGGAAACCTGGAAGAATCAGCTACGTCCACCGAACCAGTGGATGGAAAAAATCTTTCTCTCTGTCTCTCTCTCTCTTCTTTTTTTCTCTTTTTTCATTTTCCTATTATTATGGATAATTTCATAAAACTGTCATAATGCATAGCTAAATCTCATTTCATATAATCTCTTTAAGTCACTTATGTACAGTTTTGGGGCTAAAATTTCTTTTTTATTTCTTTTTTATGATTTTCATACTAGCGTATAATGTACATCTCCAAAATGACGACAATTGGGTCTTTAAATTGTGTAATTGTTTTACCTTTACACATCCCACTTAACTTATTCTGAGCCTCACTGTGGGGATAGCTTTTCTATGTGTTATAAAATGCAAATTGCCTTTACACATAAATGCATTGCTCTCTTAGTAACCTGAAAATTTTTAGCAGGTCAACAGAACTTTGGACATGAACTTGATTTAGTAAACAGGGAGAAAATGAATTTAGTGACTAGAAGTTCAGAATTCCAATTTTCTCCTCATTGTGTTATCTCTTACTTAAAACTTGGTTTAATAAGTCCTTAAAATATCATGCCCCAGAAGAAGATTAAGGCAGAAATTATTTTAACAGTGTGTATGTGTGTGTGTGTGTGTGCTGATTGAGCTGTAGCAATACTTACCATCCTCTGTTCAAAAGTCTTCAATTTCACATGCAAAGAATTTTCATGTATTTCTCATATGACTCATACTATGTAAGACTTATTTTTTAATGTCAGCATTTTGTTGAAACAGAAAAGGGTAGAGATTCTGTTAAATTAACATAAAAACCCTAGAAATCAAAACTTTTTATTGTTCATTGCTGCAAACAGTTAAAGTCCTAGAGGAGGACTCCCAGTGTTCTGTCCTCCAATACTAGTATCTATATTACAGTTCTAGGAAAAATAGAATCTTACAGCTCAAGAAGCTTTGTGACATCATTATATCACTACTGTTTGTGAAGTAGTAGTTCCATTGCATCTCTTTGTCCTTTTCATCATAATAAAAACAGTCAAATCTTAAAAGCAAACCACAGATTTGTTTGTGTGCACTTAATTTATTTTAATTACTTAATTTTTCACTCTTCCTCAAATCATTTTCCTATAGGCCATACTTCATGAAGTGCTTTGCAATTCGTCATTATAATAGAAAGTTACATTTTGTTCAGTGTTAAACATATGAATTCATTGTCATTTTTCTAAAATTTACATGAAATTTAAATTATATTTGAAAGCCTGTATGCCTAACAGATGATCAGGTTTCTAAGTCCAAGTCTCTGTTTAACATTCTCATAACACTGAAAATGTTGATTTTTCCCCTTTTCCTCAACTTGTAAGCTTTTGCAATCCTATTAAACTTTTCTGGAGAGTTCCATGGAAGATAAGTCCCATAGAATATGCCTCAAATAAAAAAATGTCTACAGTTCAAAAGATCAAGAGACACTACATAGTATGTTTTTCTTTCAGCAATGCCAAATTTACATTAGTAAGTGTTGTGGGAATTGCTGGAATAAAAACATTGACATAATGTTGTTTCGTTTAGAGTTTCCAGATGTATTTGAAGATGGAAAACCCCATATCTCTTATACATTGTATTATTCTGATATTTCAACAATCATCTTAAGTTGAGAGATATAAAATGGATGCTGTGCTAAGGAGGGAGTGAGGAGGGGCGTTGTGCTCCTAATCCTGGAAGTTTGTGAAACAGTAATATTATTATTTGCTTTGGGTTTATTTTAGGCTAATGGGGATGAAATAACTGAAAATTTGTACCCTGGAGAAAAATGTTTTTTGAATCAGCCAGAAGAGTCAACAAACCTGATTCTGTCCACAGGTAATTTTCCAGACAAGTCATCTTATTACACTGCATGCCCTAATAATGCAGATAACAAAGATATTGGGCATTTTCTTTTGCTTGTCTCGCTTTATACTGAAGCTTTTAAAAGAACAGTTATTGTCCAAAGAAATAAGAGAATCATGTAAAACTTACTGCAATGCTGTACGAATGTCCAACATTCATTCTCATCTCTGAAACTAAAAATAATTTTTGGTGATTGAAAAAAGAACTGCTTTGTTTAATAGTATTTCTTTTATTCTGTAAAGTAGCAATTCATGGCTACCTAACAGTTTAGAAAATTTCTATTTGGACATTTCTGTGTGACCTATTATATTCTTGATCTTTGTAATGCAATTTCTTCACTTTATGAACTAATAATTTGAGACTTATTAATGTCTTATGAAAGGATGCAACATCAGCAATGATTCTGGTTTGTTCTCCCTGAGTTGCATTTGCATGGCCTTTTGGCATAGTAGCTAGACTAGGTCACTTAAGTGACCTAAACACGACTTGGTCACATAAGTGTGAACTACTTATCCAGCCATCTCTGATCTTCAAAGTCGATGCCTAAAAGTTTAAACGGACCTGGCATATTCTACTTGACACTTTCTTATGTCACTATTTTTAAACCCCATGTAAATTTCTGTTTTCAAGAAACTGATGTGCAGGCAGATGACATTTATGATGACCCTCAAGAAGCTGAAGTCATCCAGTCTCTGCTGGATGTTGTGGATGAGGAAGCTCAGAATCTTTTAAACCAGAACAGTGCACCAGAAGATGCCTGTCTTCCAGGTACATGACCCAGATGAATAAACTGGCACCGCAAAGAGTACAAAGACATCTCTAGGGAACATTTTGTTTTAGTAAATATGAAATGCATTAACTTTCCCCCCTATTTCTCATTGGTAGATAATATTTCCAAAATGAAAGAGGATTTTTAAGCTTTTTTTTTGTATTTGTGAATGGGTTAGCTTATTAGTGAGATCTCAAAATGAATTATTATTATGGCTTTCCTTTATTTGTTGATTGATTGATTTGAAAAGAAAAATTACAGAGAGGGGGAGAGACAGATCTTTCATGCACTGGTTGCTGCCCAAAGGCCTGCAGTGGCCGGTCCAGGAGCCTGGAACTCTCTTGAAGTCTTCCATGTGGGTGGCAGAGATCCAACTGCTACACCACATTCTGCTACTTCCCCAGGGTGCGTTAGCAGCAAGCTGAATGGGAAGTAGAGCAGCCAGAACTCAACTGGGCACCCATATGGAATGTGGTGGCTTGACTGCTGTGCCATAATGCTGGCCCCTGACTTTAACTTTTAGAAGGGTTAGTGCAAACATTTTCCCGTAGTTGATACTACAATATTCTTAGGACATTACAATTTAAATAGAAGAGTTTAGCCAGAAATTTTAGGTTGACATATACCATGGTATTTATCCATAACATTTCTAGTAAGAACCCTGAAATTATTCATGGATGTTCATCCATTTAACTGCCTGCTTTTGCAAGCAAATGAAAACCTTTCCATTGCCTTGGTAGTTACATTCATTCCTCCTTGGCCTGTGTATTTTTTCTCCCAGGTGTGTTGAAGGCGAATGAGCAGTTACCAGAAGACAGAGCTGAAGCTACAGACTGGGATAGGTCACCTTTGCCGGAGGATGTTACTGAAGTAAGGATGATAGTACATAAACTTGTTAGAGTGACATGTTTTTAACACAGGGGTAAAATAATCTGTTTGTTTTACTGAAAAATTATTTTTGCTATGGGAGCAGTGGAGGTGAATTTCACTTGTTGAAGTAATATTCCTTTCTAGGAAAGTAGCATTATTCGTTTGCTCAAATTTTTAAAACAAACAAAAAATTTATTTTCACAAATACAGTGAAACTTGTCAAATTCCTATTTGAAATCTGCAAAGTTTGGATCTTCTGGGGCAATGAGCTAGGAAAAAGCATAAAAAATGGATAAATTGTGTTTAGACTCTTAAAACTCGGCATCATCCTATTTGTTCAAATCTCATACTGCTTAGTATACTAGAATAATTTTACTTCACTAGCCTACTTAGTCTTCAAAATTATCAGAAATATGCCGGCTTGGAATTCTTAACAATATTTACTGTGCAGACAAATATAATCTCATATACTTGGAATTATTTTCATTTAAAAATTATAAATAATTAGTATGTGAGTATGCAAGATATTTTATGGATGTTGAATGTGTACTTCTCAGCATTTACACAGTTAGAGAGTGAAGGGGAGACAGATCTTTCATTCTCTGGTTCACTCCCCAAATGGCAACCATGACTCCAGCTGGGCCAGGTCAAAGCCAGGAGTCTGAAATTTCATCAAGATCTCCAGTGTGGGTAACCATCCTGGTCATCTTCTGATGCTTTCCTGGTGTGTTAGCAAGGAAGTTGGATAGGAAGAATAGCAGCCAGGAGTTGAACCAGTGTCCATGAAGATGCTGGTATCAAAGGCTTAGATTTAATCCCCCGTACCACAACAGCAAACCAGTAGGTACTGCTTAATCTACAAAAATGATTATACGAATGTTGGATTTCTCAAAATATAGCATTCTCTAGTGTTCTTGCTTAAGATAATCTTTCACATTATCAAAATATTAATAATTAGGCTTCAACGAGAAAAAGCAGTTTTGAGTATTTTAAGCTATAATGAATTTCATTATGCTTCTGATAGTGGAGTTAACAACAGAAATTAGCATTCTCACACTTTTAGAGGCTAAAAGCCCAAGGCTTGAGATACTCACTGGGCCGATTTCTAGCAAAGCCTCTGCTTGGCTTACAGAGGGCCACCTTCCACTGTGTCCTCACATGGCTCTTCCTCTGTGTGCGCAGCCTCCTGCCAGCTCTTCCTGTTCTTGTGAAGATATTAATCCTTTTAGATCAGGACCTCACCCTTGTGACTTCATGTAACCTGAATCACCTCCTCTACAAGGTTTTGTCTACCCTGTGCATGTTACATTGCAGCTGAGGGCTTTAACGGGTCAGTTTTGGGGGACATAATTCAGTCCACATACAGTTTTTGTTTAACCAGTTAGAACATATTACTAAGTAAGATGTCATTCATAATAAGTTACAGAAAAATAAAAGCTTTAGACATAAATTCAAACAGTGTAAGACCTGTATTCGTGTTTTAAAACCTTAAAACATAGCATGAGAGATGTATCAGAGAAAAAATATTTTCTCATTCCATGATAGAAAAACACAAAATCCAAATTCTCTCTAAATGCACCCATAAGTTAAATGTATGAGTCCATAAAATATTTCAATGTTTGCTTGAAGTTCTAAAGTACATATGGAAATAGAAGTATGTGAAATTATATACCTAAAACATAAAGTTATAGAAGGAGAATATTTCAGCCATCTATTATGAAATACAATTTAACCTGCTGGTCAGATACAGATGGACTCTACAAACTTGTTCATTGAGAATATACTATGCCTAAGGTCAAATATGTTTGGCTAGTCCAACCTTGGAAATACTAACTTAGCACTTCTTCAAGTGATAGAATAGACGACTGAATAGTGACTGCTGCCAGGCTGTTAGAAGCCCCTAATTCTTTTACGTTTATTTGTTTAAAAATTTATTAATTTTACTTTGAAATTCAGAGTTACAGAGAGAAAAGGAGAGACTGAGTTCTTCCATCCACTGGTTCACTCTCCAAATGACTGCAGTGACCAGAGCTGGACCAGTTCAAAGCTGGGAACCAAGAGTTTTTTCCACGTCTCCCATGTGGGTGCAGAGACCCTAGCATATGGGCCATCATCCATCCACTGCTTTCCCAGACCAAAAGCAGGGAGCTGGATTGGAAGTGAAGTACCCAGTACTGGTGCCCATGTGGGATGCCGGTGCCAGCAGGTAGAGGATTATCCTGTTATATCACAGCATCAGTCCATTTTACCTGTATTTCCAAACAGCCAGCCACAAATAGGTCTTCCTACCACCCCCTCTCTGTGTTAAAATAATTGGTTTGGGGGCCCAATGGCGTGGCCTAGTGGCTAAGATGCCAGGATCCCATATGGTTGCAGGTTCTAATCCCGGCAGCTCCACTTCCATTCTATCTCTACTCCTCTCTGTATATCTGACTTTGTAATAAAAATAAAATAAATCTTAAAAAAAAAAGAAAGAAAGAAAGTTACAGCAAATTAAAATAAAATAAAATAAAATAAAATAAAATAAAATAAAATAAAATAATTGGTTTGAGCACCTTACAAAACTCAGGAAAATACTTAGATTTATTGGCTCATTATGAAGGCTATTACAAAAGAAACATGAAGAAACACACAGGCTAAAGGATGGGAGAGGGGCACAGAGCTTCCATGCATTCTCAGGGTACACCACCCTCAATGCAGCTCTCCAGAGGCCCCCCAGACCCTGAGTTTTTGGATGTTTTGGGGGGGGGCCTCATTGATGCAAGACAGGAAGTAAAGCCTGCAGGGTCTGTTCAGAGTCTTTAGCATTCCATCTTAGAACAGAGCCAGAATCTTGTGGAGTTCAGAGGTCTGGTGACCTGCTCAGAGTTCCCACGGCCTGCCTTGGGAAGAAACTATAAACTCCCAACTGTGGACAGACACAAAAATATATACATGTATTTCTCTCATATCACTTCTACTTAGTGAAATGTGTTAGTTTAGTGCCCGTTTTATATGTGGATGAAAAGATGAGTGTCATTCATGCATGTTGTTCTAAACTATGATGTCAAGTTTTGAAACATCATTTAGCTATTACTGAACTTGTCTGGCCCTGCTTTTGCTGGAGAGGACAGATTGAGAAGAGATATCAGGGTTTCTCTCCAAGGTTAGCTTGTGTAGTCCAGTAGGCAGCCTGGAAAATATGTATGTGTAAATAAGTTGATGCAGTTTTTTAAAAAGCTATAGTGAAGAAGTGTTCTGTTACATATTTATATGGGGTCCAGTAGGAGCTGTAAAGAAGCACCAATAAAGAACTTACTAAAATTGTCAAAACAGTCCCCTTCAGATCACTACAGAAAGAATAACTTGGGGCCAGTTGGTGAGGCAGGTTAAGTGACCACAGCTGCTTGTGACACCATTATCAGAGTACCAGTTTGAGTCATAGCTACCATGCTTTCTATCCAGCTTCCTGTTAATGGGTCTGGGAAGGCAGCTAAAGATAACCTAAGGACTTAGCCCCCGGCTACTCATGTGAAAGACCAATGTAGGATTGCTTGCCGCTGCCTTCAGCCTGGCCCAGTCCTGGCTGTTATGGCCATTTGGGGTCTGAACTAGTGGATGAAGGATCTCTCACTTCTGTCTCTCCCTCTGTATTATGCCACCTTTCAAACAAATGACTTTTTGAACCTCTTAAATAATTCAATTTAATTTTTTAAATTCCTTTAAAGAATGCATAAAATAATGAAGGGACCATACCTGTTCATGATTTAAAAGGATTAATACCAAGAATATAAAAGAAACAAAAAACTCAAGAGCCAACCATGCAGCTGAGAAGAGGGATAGGGGTAGGGGAGAAGAAAAGGCCAGAGGCAGACATGGGTCCAGGTTAGGACAGTGCTTGAGATGCCGACATCCCATACCAGAACACCTAGGTTCTGATTTAGCTCTGCTTTTGATCCAATGCTCCAACCATGCACACTCGTAGGCAACAGGTCATGGCTCAAGTATTTGTGTTCCTGCTACCTCTGTGGGAGATCTGGTTTGAGTTTTGAATTCCTGGCTTCAGCCTGGCACAGCCCCAGCTGGTTTGTGGTTGTTGTTGTTTTTAAACAAAAGGATTGATATTTTTAAAATGTTAATAATAGTAATAATTCATTGTCTTTTTTTCCCACTTAGAGTTTGGAAATTCTACAACACACAGTGTAGATTCTACACATTCTAAAAGTTCACAACATTTTCTTAAAACATGTATCCTGTAGTTTTCTAAGCATTGTCCAGTTTATAGACAATTACTTTATTTTTGTGAATTTTACCACTTGGTAAAACAATGCTGCAATAAATATTCATATACAGATATAGAAAGAAAGAAAGAATGACAGGGAAATGGAAATGTTAATTACTGTGATTAAATCAGTGCATATTAATATCTTCAAAAATCATATTATGCCCTATAAGTATGTAAACTTATTACATGTTAATCAAAAATGTGTAAAACCCTTATAGAGTATAAAAATCAAATTACTTTAAATTTTTTTAAAATATGGGTATGGTCTGGCACCATGGTATTGTGGGCTAAGCCTCCACTTATGATGCCAGCATCCCGTATAGGCACCAGTTCATGTCCCGGCTGCTCCACTGCTGGGGCAGCTCTCTGCTAATGGCCTGGGAAAGCAGCAGAAGATGGCTCAAGTCTTTTGGAGACCTGGAGGAAACTCCTAGCTCCTGGGTTTGAATTGATTCGGCTCCGGCTGTTACAGCCATTTAGGAAGTGAACTAGCAAATGAAAGACCTCTCTCAGTGTGCCTGTCCTTTTCTCTGTAACTGTGCGTTTCAAATAAAAATAATAATAAAACAGATCTTTCAAATATGGGAAACAATCACTTCTCGACCTTTTGGCTAAGATTAAGTGTAAATATGGGAAACGGCAGAATCTGCACAGAAGTAGTGAGAGTTATTAAAGCATCCAATAGGATTAGTCAAAGGAAATGATAGGTGAGATGAAGTGAGAACAAAAGCCATACCGTAGAGCTGCGTTAGCAGAGGTGTGGGACATTAGGGCACTAGATCAGTGCAAGGGTGATACCACATCATACCTTGACAATGAAGGCTGAAGACAAGCAGGAGTTCGGTTCATAAAGTAACTTGTGTACTACGCCAAGAGATGTTGTCTCCCCTTGTCTTTGATCACCTGATTCTTCTGAGAGAGGCAGAAGCACTTTGCCGACAGGTCAGAAAAACCAGGATAGAAAAAAGATGTCTTCCACAGACATGCCTCAGTACACTTCCAGGGTCGTTTCCAGTTCTAGTTTTTAGAAAACTATTTTTTAAACATTAAAGAAAATTACAAAACTTTTAGTGACTCCCTCCACTTGGGCGATAATCATGCTTAACCTAGCATAAGGCAGAGCTGGCCTTACAGGCCATTGTACAGTGCAGTCACAGAACCCATTCCTATGCGAGCCCTGCACTTCTGATAGAATACAAGGCTGTGTAATCACTGTGTCCAACTCTCTAGGTGTTTTGTTTTGGTTTGGTTTGGTTTGGTTTGGGTTTGGGTTTGGGTGGCAGGAGGGATAGAGGTAAGATTTCAAATACACAAGTAATGTGCCTGGGAAAGCAGCAGAAGATGATCCAGATGCCTGGCCCCTGCCCCCCAGATAGAAGACCTGGGTGGAGTTGGACACTCTTGGCTTCACCCTGACCTTGTCTGGCCATTGCAGCCATTTGGAGAGTGAAACAGTAGCTGGGAGATCTCTTTTCCCTCTTTCTAACTTCCTTTCAAATAGAAAAATAAGTTCTTTTTTTAAAAAAGTGCTTGAAGGCATTTTCAGGTTTTAAAACTCAAGTAGCATTAAAGAATATGCCACATGTGCGTAGAATTATATAAGTGCTCATTCAGATTTTCAACTGAAATTCTAACTTCCAAATTTCTGATTTCCTCAAAATCTTGGGCCACTGAAAATGCCTCAGGCACTATGCAGAGCCTGTTGATTAAACATCATATGTGTCTTTGTAATATGAGAATAAGTAATAAATATAAGTGATAATTCATAGAAAAAAACAGATACTACTAGTTTGCTTTTCCCAAAGGGCTAATTTATTTTTATTTCTCTTTATTGTAGTCTACCAAAATTAATGGCTATGAGGAATACTGTGAAGAGAAAGTAGAAAGTGAAAGGTAAGCTCAACAAAAAGTTTTTTGCAATTAACATTGTAAAATAAGCTTTTGTTTTGGTGAGGAGGCACAGTATATCAAGGAAAAATTGTATACATTATTGATCAACAAGGTGATTGTACATAAAATGTATTATATGTACTATATAAAGCATCTATGTTTATGTAGTCAATGTATTACCTGCTGATCGGATACTCAAAAATAGCTGTTTACTTCTTCCTAAAACAGCAAATTGATGTGAAGTATTGACTGAGAGAGGGTTACAGATTATTAATGTAGAAATGCGTGCATTTTTATTCCTGGTAATTAGAAATACATGAAAGAGAAGGTGTTGGTAAACAGCTATCTCTTTAAGTTTTGAGGGACAGGGAGAGAGGAAGGAAAGAGGGAAAATTAATGTGACCTTTTTGTTTGCATTGGGTTTTGTTGTAACATCTCAAAATTCATGAAAAAAATAAAACCATGCAGGTGTTGCAATCAGAGTCATCAATAGCACTCCTTAAAGTTAAACAAAATAATGTATCTCATTGTGATGGGAGTCATAGATCCAAAGAAATGTAATACATGTTCTTCAACATAGCAAGTTTATGTCTAAGAACTTTATAGCCATATGTATGCAAAGACATTCCTAAGTGTGAACATACTATGATATTACTTTCTATGAGCAGTTGCAACATTTTTAGACTAGCAGATACCATTAAGAGAGACAATACACCGGAGTGTGAAGCAGCTGTTGAAGAGAATGATGGAACACCTCTGAAATCTGTTCTTGCAGACAGAGTACTGGCATGTTAAGACATAACCAACCTCATGGGTGCAGCAGAGCTTACAAATTAAATGTTAATTATAAACCACAATGAATTGAACAGAAGAACACGTGCACTGTAAAAACAGCATGATCGTTGCCTGGTAATTGACATTTGGAAAGCAACGTGAATGATGTACACCAATGCAGTCAGATCAGAGAACTCTGCTTTATTTAATTGAAGAGAGAAAAATCTATTCGATCTTTTGCATAACCTCTTTTCATCTCCCTTCAGCACTAAGCACTCTTCTTACCTAATTTCTCTTTTCTGGCCAGCCATCCAATTTACCAGGAAATGGTGAAAATGTATTCTTTGTTTCATTACACTGAGACAGAGAGTGACTTTCTGGCCTCCAATTGTGGCAATACTGTGTTCATTAAAAGATACTTCTTCAGATAAATTAAGATAAATCCATGTAATGGACTGGTTGATATTATAAAAAAAAAAGTGAAAAATATGTCCCAGCTCCACTATGATCACTCATCATGTTGAAGGATGGAAATGAACCTGCCACTTTCTGTATCTCCCCTGCTTTGGCCTAAAGTTTAAAGACTTAGAGTCTATTTGAAAATAAGTTTAAAACTGCAGTAAACTGTTCTGTGGCTCAAACTGATTTATATCTACCAATAGATTTAAAGAATGTGGATTCATTGTTTTCTTTTTTAATTCAGGTAACCTACTTTAAAATGCTATGATAGTTGTATGAAAATAAATTGTTTGGTGCCATAACAATTTAGCTTCTATGGGGGACAACACAAAGATGTTTTACCAATGTGTTTTGTTGTCATAGCTTACTTCAGAAGTCACAAGAAAGGAAGATGGAGAATGATGGAATCCCTTGGGCAAGTGGTGAATTGCCAATACAGGCAACAAACCATGAAGATGCTGATAAAGGCAAGAGTTTTATTAGCAAAATTTTCTTCAGAAACAGTGAATAGGAAAAATAAATGTATAAAGACAAAACTTTCAGAATGTATGGGAATGTTATTTCACTATATGTCTATCTGCATTATTTGATTTTATAAAGTTAAATCACATTGACACATTAAATCAACATTGTCCAGTTTATAGCCCAAAATTCTCAGTGGAATTGAATAACACTTGCAGGTAAGTGTATAGATACTTCAAATGAAAAGAGTATGAAATAAGTAGAATAGCTGAAAGGTATGAAACTATTATTACAATTGAATTTCAATTTCATCTTTTTTTTAATTATTTTATTTATTTGAAAGGCAGTGTTTCAGAGAAAGAATGGGAAAGATAGAGTGGTTGTCCTTCCACTGATTCACTCCCCGAATAGCAGCCCCGTCTGAGCCTGGACCACACTAAAGGCAGAAGCCAGGAGCCTCATCTGAGTCTCCCACATGGACTCAGGGGCCAGCATCCTCTGCTGCTTTCCCAGGCACATAAGCAGGCAGCTAACTCAGAAGTGGAGCAGCCAGAACTCAAATCAGCCCCCATATGGGATGCTGGCATTGCAGGCAGCAGCTTTACTCACACAGCCACGACACCAGCCCCCCAACTCCATCTTTTACAAACAGGAGTCAGTGGGTCTGTCTTCACTATTATTAGTGTATTTTAATTTTATAATTGAACCAGTTGAGAAATGAAATTGTATTCTGTTTTATTTGTCTTGTTTCATATAAGGAAGTATTACATGGAAAGAATGTGGTCTTGTCGTAGTTTTATAAAGGAAACTGATGAACTAAATTCACAGTGTTTCAACTTAGGTCAATTCTTGTTGCCTTCTATAAACCAGCCTCATTGTCAGTCCTTGGAGTTCCTGTTCTTTTCGCACTCAGTTCTGTAACATTTACAGTTAACTTCATGAATGAATTTCATACTCCCAACTAGACTTTGTCCTAGCCAGATCTGACGCTTCTTGAGGTAGCTTGTCCAAGTTGTATCTCCCACAGTGCCCAGCATTGTTATTGTCTACAGAATAGCTGCATCATGAAAACACCTTCACCAACCGACAGACTTAATTAAACCTACACATGTCCAGTACAACAAGATGTCTTTCCTACCTTTCTCTGAAAGAGCAGTCACCTTCTGCTACAGGCACCAGAACTGAATCACAGGGTGGGCGTGAAGGGGGGAGCTCGGGGCCCCTAGAGCAGTCTCCTGTGGTGAGGAATTCTGGACATGTCTTACCTGGTGCTGAGAAGCTAATACAAATGTAGTTTACTAACAGACCTAGACATGTATCTCCCTCAGGAAAACACTGCCACTTGATTCAAGAAGCTTGTAGAAGTCAAGGGCCTGAAGGACTTCTGTGCAGGGACAGGATTTGGCGGAGCAGTTCATCTCATATTGACATTGAGTGCTTGAGTTCAGATCACTGCACCACTTGTGAGCCCAGCTTCTTCCTGGCAAGCAGCAGTGATGGCTTGAGTCCCTGCCACCCACAAGAGAGAGCTGGATTGAGTTCCAGAATCCTCGCTTGAGCATGACTCAGAACCAGTGCATGGCTTATCTTTATTCTCTGTTTCTCCCTCTCTGTCTCTCTCTTTTCCAAATAAATGGGGGTGGGGGGAAGAAAGAAAGAACTTCAGATCAGGCATTGAGCTATCATCTTACAAGTTGGGTTCTGAGTGGTGCTGTGGTAAACAGTTCCTGGATGGGCCTGTGGCAGAGCAGTTAAGATGCTGCTTGGGAACTCTATATTCTCTGCGTGGGGTGCTGGGGTTTGAGTTCTGGCTTCACTTCTGCTTCTGCCTTCCTGCTACTGTGGACTCTGGGAGGCAGCAGGTGACAGCTCAAATGCTTGGGTCCCTGCCACCCTTATGTGAGACTTGGATTAAGCACCAGGCCCCTGGGCCCGGCCTGAGAGCCTAGTGGCTAACGTCATCACCCTGCATGCACTGGAATCCCATATGGCCACTGGTTCCTGTCCCAGCTGCTCCACTTCCCACCCAGCTCGCTGCTTGTGTCCTGGGAAAGCTTTGGGACCCTGCACCCATGTGGGAGACCCAGAAGAGGCTCCAGGCTCCTGGCTTCGGATTGGCTCAGCTCCAGCTGTTGCAGCCACTTGGGGAGTGAATCAGCAAACAAAAGATCTTCCTCTCTGTCTCTCCTTCTGTCTGTATATTTGCCTTCCCAATAAAAATAAATGAAGTAATAATATTGAAAAAATAGACTCCTCACTTGGGCCTGACCCATTCATGGTTGTTGCAGATTTGGGGGCAGTGAAAGAACAAATAGAAGAGTTTTTTCTTTTGATGTTTGTCTCTCTGCCCTCCAAATAAGCAAAATTACTTTTTGAAGCCTTTTTAAATGTATCGTAGTGATGAGTTTATTCATTCTTTAGCCCTATTAGTTCTCCAATATTTAAATGCTCCCCATTTTGTAAAAGTGGGTTCCCCATTCTGTGAGAATGGTCTCCAGTTGTTCCCTCCCTGGGCCGGCGGGTTCTGGGACAGTGCCTTCCTGACGCTCAGTACTGTCTTCCTGTTAGATCCTCCCTTTCTGACGAACGAGGAACTCGCTGCACTGCCTGTGGTCAGAGTGCTCCCCTCGGGCAGATACACCGGCGCCAAGTTGAAATCAGTCATTCGCATGCTGAGGGGCTTGCTGGACCAGGGGATTCCTTCCAAGGAACTGGAGGTAAGTGGCACATGCCAATGGTTCTATCCCCGAAAGGTGCCTGTATCAGGAAAGAAAAATGTGTCCTTAGTCAGGAGACACTTCGAAAAATCATCTATTATCTACCCATTCTACCAATAGGTTCCTAACTTATAACTCGAAAAGCACCTTAATGTTATACACAGAATTAAATTAATTTTTCTAATTGGAATTGGAATAGTATTGCTTTAAAGACATTGCATTAGCAACTTGCATTTTGATAAATTTCCCTGAAGATTCTCCTCCCTGCATCATGTATAAGGATAAAAAAAAAAATTTTTAAGGCAGCCATCTATGCCAACCACCCACTGAATTTCATAATTGTTAGCCTGGGAACGTGGCGCACCATTAGCCATGGCTTCTAATTCAGCACGGCTCTCAGCACCTGTGCCCCAGCTCAGCCGTGGCTCCTCAGAGGCTCTCATGACAGCATCCATATTTAGCAGTAAGCAACAGACAAATGCAGCCCCACCGTGTAGGTGGGGGTCGGGGCGGTCCTTGCTCTTGCTCAGTGTCTGCTTGTTTGCCCTTGTCCGGGGCTTTCTTGCTGGGAAAAGGAGTTACTTCTGTTGAGTGATTCTGCTCTGCTGTTACTACTTTGTAAAGATTTCTCAAAAGATCAGTTCCATTGGATAGATTTGAATACTGGAGCAAATATTAAAATATGCTCCTCTCTGCAGAGCTCTGTTTTCACATAACCTGTTTCTTCATTTAGGTTTTAAGTTTAAATATCACCTTGGAGAACTGGCATGACAACCCTTAGGACACGGATCGCTCTCCTCCATCACAGCAGTGGGTTGAGCCTCTGAGGCTACATTCCCACGTCTGCCGACTTCCTTTGTTTCTTCCCACAGGCTGTGCCTTCCATGAAAGCTAGAATCTTCTGTTGCTGCCACCACTATCTCCCCAACATTTATAACAGCACCTTGTAAACCAAAGCATTTAATAAATATTTTTCAGAGAGTGGATGAACCATAGGTTAAAAAGAGTTGACTCTACAACTCAGGATTACATGATCACAACATGATGCCTTGGAATATTCCAATAATATACAGAAATTTTCACTCTGCTTTGTTACTGTAAGTCAAGGGCATTTTCAGAAGTTGTGATTTTTTTAACTGAATTTTGAAATTAAGATACAAAATGCTATCTGCTGAAGTAGTTGCTGCAACAAGTTCAATTTAATGTACTTGCAACAGTAGTATAGTAGTACTTCCAGAAGTTCATGAAAGAGGGAAATAAAAGGTGGTATATTTTTGGTGCAAAAATTTTTTGCTGCAACGTATGTTTTCCCTAAACTTTTTAAAGTCTGCTTTAGTTAACACTGATTCATCAGTTTGGTATTGAATTTAGGCTTATTTAGGACATCTCTATTTCCTAATGTTCAAAGTGAGCCCTAACAACCAACTTTACACTAAACACATTCGTAGCATTTTCAGTTACTTAATTACTGTTTAACAAATTCATTTCCATTGTTTGCCTTATAGAACCTTCATGAATTAAAACCTTTGGATCAGTGTCTGATTGGACAGACTAAGGAAAACAGAAGAAAGAACAGATATAAAAATATACTTCCCTGTAAGTTCCAGTTTGACCCTAAAATTTCATTTCGGTTTACTAGAATCTGAACTTATCCTAAATGCTTATGCTAATTTAACCTGTTATCCATCACATAAGCGTGTGCGTATACACACATTCAGAGATTAACTTCAGTAATACGTAAATCCAGATACACAATGTGAATTCCCTTTTAATTTTTCTATTCTGAAAATGAAAAGAACCAAATATTTAAGTTATCCATGAATATTTATTCATATAATATTAAAATTTTATCAGTGATGCCAAATCAATCATTTTAAACTGGCCCTTGGATAAGCATTGTATTGGGTTGATATGTCATAACCACCATTAATTTATCCATTCACTTTAAGGCAGTGTCGATGGTAATTTATAGCCCTGCACATATGACTACAGTGATACTAGCAAGGCTGAATTGAGCTTTTAATCATTTTAGACCCCAGAAGGAAATTTCTCACATGTGTGGTAGGGGCCCAAGTAGGTAGACCACCTTCCACAGCTTTCCAGTTGTACTAGCAGTGAGCAGGCTTAGAAGTGGGCAGCAAGGGCCCAAACCAATGCTCATATGGGATACCAGCATCCCACTGGTTAAGCAGGTTGACTTAACCTACCTGACTACTACAACACCAGCCCCTGAAAGGAATTTTTTAAAGGCTTAAATGTTTATTTATTTCAAAGGTGAAATTATAGAGAGAAAACAAGAGAATGTTTCTTCTGTCTGATGACTCACTCCCCAAATGAGTACAACAACAAGGGCAGGCTGGTGCCAGGAACCTGCAACCCCATCCAAGTTTCCCATGTGGACCTAGGGGTCGCAAGCACTTGGGCCATCTCTCCTGTAGCCTTCTCCAGTGCATGAGCAGGGAGCTGGAATGGCAGTGGAATAGCCAGGAATCAAACCAGCACTCATGGGATGCTGGTGTCACAGGCCATAGTTTGACTTGATGCACCACAATACCACCTCCCACCCTCAATTACAGAAATTAAAACACTCATTTTAACCCATGCTGTACCCATTCCACCTATCCAGAATATGAATTATTATTAAACATAAGGGGGCCCAGAGCAGTAGCCTAGTGGCTAAAGTCCTTGCCTTGCACCTGTCTGGATCCCATATGGGCACCTATATGTAACCCAGCTGCTCTACTTCCCATCCAGTTCCCTGCTTGTGGCCTAGGAAGGCAGTCAAGGATGGCCCAAAGCCTTGGGACTCTGTACCCATGTGGGAGACCCAGAAGAAGCTCCAGGTTCCTGGCTTCAGATTGGCTCAGCTCTGGTCATTGCAGCCACTTGGGTAGTGAATCAACAGACAGAAGATCTTTTTCTGTATATCTGCCTTTCCAATAAAAATAAAGAAGTCTTTAGAAAAAAATTAAACATAAGTATATTTTTGAATTAAACATAAGTATATTAAACAATGTTTAACCTGTAACAACTTCTTACATATTTGTGTATATTAGTACTTTGGATTATATCATGTGACACACTGACCCTGTGTTAGCAAGAAAATCATAAATCTCCAACAAATAAACCCAATAGCAACAAATCATGAAATAAAGAATAATGCAATTGAATGTTTTCAAACCAGATGAAAGGCAAAATATTTGTTTTAGCCAACTTCCTGTAAGAAGTGAATCTTAGCTTTTTTTAAGATTTTTATAGTAATTTCATTTGAAAGGCAGCGTTATGTAGAGAAGGAGAGAGAGAAATCTTCCATCTGTTGGTTCACTCCCCAAACTGGAACCAAGAGCTTCTTCTGGGTCTCCCACTGGGGTCAAGGGGCCCAAGGACTTGGGCTGTTCTTCACTGCTTTCCCAGGCCACAAGCGGATAGCTGGATCAGAAACAGAGTTGCCAGGACTCAAACTAACACCAATATGAGATGCCAGTGCCACAAGCTGAGGCTTAATCTACTATGCCACAGCCCTGAATCTTAGAATTTTCAAAACTGGAACAACTCATGTCTTGGTATAAAGTAAATAGTCAATATTTAAGGAAAAAATGTAGCAGATAATTTCACAGCCGTAAAATCAAAACTAATGAGAGAATTTGTTTTCATGAAACAAACAACAAGTAGACATAAAGTAATAAAGGACAACTGACAGTGGATTTTGGAACCTGTTATTAAAATAATTTTTTAAGGTTTATTCATTTTTTATTGGAAAGAGAATTGCAGAGAGAAGAAGAGACAGAAAGAAAGATCTTCTATCTGCTGGTTCACTCCCCAGTGGTCACTATGGCCAGATCTGAGCTGACCCGAAGTCAGGAACCAGGAATTTCTGCCAAGTCTCCCATTTGGGTGCAGGGTCCCAAGGCCTTGGGCTATCCTCAATTGTTTTTCCAGGCCACAAGCAGGGAGCTGAGTGGGATGTTGAGCAAACAGGACATGAACTTGTATCCATATGGGATGCTGGTGCTTAAAGGCTAAGGATTAGTCAATTGGACCATTGTGCCAGCCCTAAATCCTTTAATTTTATATCACCAGAATTATGACTTGCATTTAAAGATATTGGAATGGAAATAACTTCTTACACATATGTATGTATAAATTTATACTTCTACATAAACCGTTAGCCTTATAACTTCAGTAAAAGATACCTTCACTGGGACAGCTTAGTTTAAAATTACATGTAGGCTCTTTGAAATTATAATTAAGGCACGGCGTGATAGCATAGTGGTTAAAGTCCTCGCCTTGCATGCACCAGGATACCATATGGATGCCGGTTCTAATCCCAGCAGCCTTGCTTCCCTTCCAGCTCCCTGCTTGTGGCCTGGGAAAGCACTCAAGGACGGCCCAAAGCTTTGGGACCCTGCACCTGCATGGGAGACCCAGGAGACCTGGCTCCTGGCTTCGGATTAGCTCAGCTCCAGCCATTGTGGTCACTTGGGGAGTGAACTATCAGACAGAAGATCCTCCTCTCTGTCTCCTCCTCTTTGTATATCCACCTTTCCAATAAAAAACTAAATAAATCTTTTTAAAAAAAGAAATTATAATTAGACAAAGATAAGGAATTATGTGACTAGAGAGTGAAATGGATTACCTGTTTATTATGCTACTTTGTCATTTGCACTACCTTGTTAAAATAATAGAACTTAATTGGGCAATGAGAATTATGCCAACAATATTTTCAGTAAGGACTTTGATAGTGTCATAATATTAATTTTATTAATTTTTATTCTGTGAAAAGAAATTTGTTGACATGCCATTCAGTACTGTTATTATTGCCATCTGCATTAAAATAACAATGAAGTAGCAAAGCTGGTCTTGTTTCTATAGTTAGCAAGAAGTTCTAAACATATTAATTTATTAATTTTAACGGCTTCAGTAAAATCTATATAAATAATACCATAGTTTTATGTTAGAAACTCACTTAGCATTGAGATATACTCATAAAATGAGCAAAACTTTTGAAAACAATACTTTTGTTAAAAGTTGTGCTTGTAACTTCATCTGTGATTTTGAGAAATCTCCCATGATCTTTGATTTACGTGCTTGGTAAGACCCTTGTTGCAAACACTCGGTGTGCATGACTGTGTGTTGGGAAATTCACAGATGATGCTACCAGAGTTCCACTTGGAGACGAGGGGGGATACATCAATGCCAGCTTCATTAAGATACCCGTGGGAGAGGAAGAGTTTGTTTACATCGCCTGCCAGGGACCGCTCCCAACGACAGTTGGAGATTTCTGGCAGATGATTTGGGAACAACACTCCACCGTGATAGCCATGATGACCCAAGAAGTGGAAGGAGAAAAAATCAAATGCCAACGCTACTGGCCTAATGTCCCAGGCAAAACCACGGTGGTCAACGACAGGCTCCGGCTGGCTCTCAGGAGGGTGCAGCAGCTGAAGGGCTTTGTGGTGCGGGCGCTGACCCTGGAGGACATTCAGGTGAGTGAGTCGGGGCGTTGGTAATGACGGCCATGTTCCAGCTGGACCCCAGCATGGCCTCCTTCATGATCTGGCTAGTGTCTTTCCAGATAAATGCTGGTGACTAGTTCTGAATGCACGGGCACGGGTGCCACCTGCTCTTTTTGTATCTTGTATACTTTTCAGTGTGTCCCCCTTCATGAGCCACCGTTTCCTCCAGGATACAATGATCTCCCCGTGATCACCCATGATCCTTCACCACCCAAATGCTACATGCTGGCAACTTATTTTTGTAGTCAAACCTCTAAAGAGACAGGTTAAAACTGTTCCTAAAATTCTATTAAGCAAAAAACATTGCCTCAGCATGCAACCTAACCTAATTAGGACAAGAGGGACAATTGCAGCAAGAAACAGTTCTCACTTAGAGGAATCAGAGAAGCAGCTGCCAGGCTTTCAATAAGGCTGCTGCTGTGTCCTCCACGCTCCTCCAGTAGTCAGCCCCTGGGGGCACACGGTGCTTCCCACCAGAGGACTAGGCAAGGTGCCTTTGCTTCTGCCACCCAGTGCCACTGGGGTCAGGCAAACCTAGCCTGGGAATTGTTCTCACTTGCTAATGAGAAGATGAGGGTGTTGATAGCAGGGAAAGGAAGAGTAAAGCCAGGAGGGTGCTTGTTGAAGGAGACCGAGCAGCAGGTATAACTTTCAACACAGGATCAGAGAAGGACGCGAGGAGGGCTGTGAAGGATTAGAGTGAGCCAGGACGAGATAGCTGAGGGAGGGTGAGGAAGGGAAAACACCACGGTCAAAAAGGACAAGTTCAGAGGCCCAGAGCTGGAACCATGCCCCAGCTGTGTAAGAGACCCGGCAGAGGGCCGAGAGGTGGCGGTCGGATCAGGGGAGTCCGCGATGTCAGAGCAGTTACAGTGCCTGGCTCTGGGATGGACTTGTCGTGGAACCACCAAAGCAGGTTGTCTTTATCAAGGTGTAATTTACTGGGCCCGGTGGCATGGCCTAGTGGCTAAAGTCCTCATCTTGAACAGCCTGGGATCCCAATTGGGTGCCGGTTCTAATCCCGGCAGCTCCACTTCCCATCCAGCTCCCTGCTTGTGGCCTGGGAAAGCAGTCGAGGACAGCCCACCCATGTGGGAGACCCGGAAGAAGTTCAGACCAGCATAGCATTAGCCGTTGCGCTCACTTGGGGAGTGAATCATCAGATGGAAGATCTTCCTCTCTGTCTATCCTCCTCTCTGTATATCCAACTTTCCAATGAATAATAAATAAATCTTTTTTTAAAAAGATGTAATTTACTTTCAGTGTTCCAAATAAGTCTTTTTTTAAGCTTTTTTTTTAAAAAAACATATTTATTTATTTTTATTGCAAAATCAGATATACTGAGAGGAGAGAGACAGAAGTCTCTCAAAGAAGTCATGTTAGCCAGTATTAAAAACATGGCTCTTACAACCCTCTTGAGAAAGGGCTTCTAGTTTTCCTTAATAGGCTGTTTTAGTCTCTCCCACTTGCCCTGTGACCTGATTCACTGGACAGAATTTGAAATGCCAGAATAATAATAAAAGCAAATTACAGGTGCAAAAAGCACATCACTGTCCCCTTAATCTGTTGTGTAATCTCAGACAGGAGAGAGGCGATGTATTTCTCATCTGAATTTCACGGCCTGGCCCGACCACGACACGCCGTCTCAGCCGGACGACCTGCTCACTTTCATCTCTTACATGAGACATGTCCACAGATCAGGCCCAATCATCACCCACTGCAGCGCTGGCATCGGGCGCTCGGGCACCCTGATCTGCATAGACGTGGTTCTGGGACTCATCGGTCAAGATCTCGACGTGAGTATGGGATGAGTGAGATCTGATCGGAAGTAATGTTCACATGACAACTGTGTTAAGATAGTTACTGTGCATTTGCTGTGAGCCTGAGAATCTAATGTATCAACAAATTCCTTTTAAAAAGACAAACAAATATCTTGGATCTACTGCTATGGTGTAGTGGGTAGGAGCCACTACCTGTAACGCCAGGATCCCATATGGATGGCAGTTTGTGTCCCAGCTGTTCCACTTCCTGGGAAAATATCAGAAGATGGGCCAAGTCCTGAGGCCCCTGCATCCCCATGGGAGACCCAGAAGAAGCTCCCAGCTTCAGATCAGCCATTTGGGGAGTAAATCAACCAACAGATAGACCGCCCTCTCTCAATCTCACAAGCACTCTCTGTAACTCTCCCTTTCTAATAAATAATAAATATTTTTCTTTAAAAAATCTTAAATGTTCAAACTAAAATTTTCAATAAGGACTGGCATTGTGGCAATGCAGGTAAAGCTGCTACCAGCAACACTGGCATCCCGCTGGGGTGCTGGGATGCCTTCCAGCTGTGGATGAGACTTCTGCCGCTCAGCAGAGATGGTCTGAGTGCTTGGGCCGCTGCCCTCATGTGGGAGACCCGGAGGGAGTTCCTGGCTCCTGGCTGTGGCCTGGCCCAGACTTGATTTTAGGGCCACTTGAAAAGTGGACCAGCAGATCTCACGCCCTCTCTCTCTTCTGTATGTGTCTGTGTCTGAGTTAAATCTGTAAAAATAGTTCAGTGGAAAATATGGATAGTTTTCTGACTTAGAAATAGGGAGAGATGTCTTAAAATCACAAAAAAGAAACTGTACTTTGGAAAAAGATGTGATTAATTTTTAAATGTGATCTTAAGTGTTTTTTTTAACTTAACAGCCTACACAAATGCCTTCATTTTCTTATTATATAGAATTGTATTTTAGTAAACATTGTTATTTAGAAAGTAAATGCGATAAAAAAAAATAAACAGCACTTCAAATTTTTGTTTGTATTATTAGAATTTTTCTGAAAAGCAGAGTTATAAAGAGATCTTCCATCTGCTGGTTCATTCCTCAAACAGCCGTAGCAGCTAGGGCTGGGCCGTGCTAAGGCCAAGGGCCGGGGACTCCATCCAGGTCTCCCAAATGGGTGCATGGGCCAGGACACTTGGACTGTCTTCTGCTGCTCTTTCAGTCTCATTAGTAGGGAACTGAATGAGAAGTGGTATAGCTGGGACTTGAAACTGGTGCCCTTATAGGATGCTGGCATCTCAGGCCGAGATCTCACCTAAACCACAACAATGCTGGTTCCTGGGAATTTTTTTTAGATGTTTGAAGGCTCTTTGTGTAGTATTAGAGTTTCACCCTTTATGGACATTATTTTTAAAAATTTACTTATTTTACTTTGAAAGTCAAAGTTACAGAAGAGAAGGAAAGACAAAGAGAAAAAGATTCCGTCCACTGATTCACTCTCCAAATGGCTGCAGTGGCCAGAGCCAGATCAGTCCAAGGGGGAGAGCCAGAAGCTTCTTCTAGGTCTCCGACATGGGTGCAGGGTCTCAAGGCTTTGGGCCTTCCTCCACTGCTTTCCCAGGCCACAGGCAGGGAGCTGGATGGGAAGTGGAGCACCCAGGACATGAACTGGCATCCAGATAGAATGCCCTTATAGTCTAGAATTGTATTAGATAGTAGTAGTATCATACTATGGAATAAAAATGCACAAATATTTTAAAGCACATCTTAAAATGATAAAGCTGAGGCATTTTATTTAATTATTTCAATTTTTTAAAGTCAATGAATAAAGCAGATCTTATTTTTAACTCTAAATAATTTCAAAACTTACTCTAAAATGCCACAGTGGTGCTTGGCGCAATGGCCTAGTGACTAAATCCTTAGTTTGCACAAGCTAGGATCCCATGTGGGTGCCAGTTCATGTCCCGGCTGTTCGACTTCCCATCCAGCTCCCTGCTTGTGGCCTGGGAAAGCAATCGAGGACGGCCCAAAGCCTTGGGACCCTGCACCTGCGTGGGAGACCTGGAAAAAGCTCCTGGCTCCTGGCTTCAGATTGGCTCAGCTCTGGCTTTGTGGTCACATGAGGAGTGAACCAGCAGACAAAAGATCTTTCTGTCTCTCCTTCTCTCTGTAAATCTGCCTTTCCAATAAGAATAAACAAATCTTTAAAAAAGAAATGCCACAGGGTTTTACTGTGTATAATATGTAATTAAAATTATTGTTTCCTGAAGCATTTTAATCAAAAGTTCTTTCATGCACTTTATGTGGTAGCTTATCTACTACAATAATTTAAGTAGGACAAGACCAAATAGTCTATTTTTCTTTTGTTCATACCGTTAACTGTCAGCTAAAATTTTTTTAAATTGCATTCTGAAAGTAACAAGTAAGAAAAAATAATTTATTTTTTATTAAGGTAGAAACGAGTCAGTTTCAGGGAGGAGATCATTCCGATTGGTGAATTTCCATATGGAGTAACCTACTGTAATTCTTTTTTTTTTTTTTAATCCTTGACAATACCAAATGACGACAGACAGTGTACCAGGTTGTTTTGTCCAGGATGGCTTCCCAAGACAACCGGAAGGGGAGGATGAGTGGGGGACAGAATTCCGTGGAAGGCCCCCTCTGGGATCCCTGTGACTCACTAACCTGGAATCTGCATTCTCTTTCTGCTGGCAGTTTGACATCTCCGACTTAGTGCGCCGCATGAGGCTCCAAAGACACGGCATGGTGCAGACGGAGGTGAGTCTCCCGAGGAGGAGGGCTGTGAAGATGCCGACAGCCTTAAAGTTCTTGTTAAACCACGCATCTGTTTTTCAGATTCCTTTGTTATAGCTAAAAAAAAAAAAAAAAAAAAAAAAGCAAACCTTTATTGAAGAAAAAAAGTTTAAGCATGAAGGCTAATTCAGAAAAAGAATATTTCTAGACTGCCTTTTTAAACCATGACCTTGTAATCAAAACTGAAGGAATGCAGCAGCGTTACAGTGCACAGGGCAGACTCCAGAGGAGGAGCCAGGGCGAGAGCCTTGGTGGAGGGAGGGAGCGGGCGTGGTGTAAAACACAAGGGAATTCATAGCATGCCACCCCCATTTCCAATCCAAAAAAAGAGATAGCAGGTAACATTGTTATTGTTGTTCTAGAAGTTCAGCAGCACAAGCTGGAAGCTGCAGGGCAGGCTGGGGCTGCTTGGAGGGAGAGACAGAGGGAGGGACAGAGAGACGGAGGGACCGTGGGAGGGACAGAGCTGGGCCCTTTTGTCCTGTGATGGCAGCATTTTCATTTATCTGACCTAAAATCAAACCATGCATCGTATCACCTGCTGACTTCCAATTGCATCCTTCCTGGGGACTCCATGTTACTGTCCACCTGTCTTCACTGACTAGTTCCACTCTCCCTCTTCTCTGAGTGGAACTCAGAGGTATGAACACTGTAAACTCACACTTCTCTCCTCTTGAAAAACAGAAAATTTACTACACACGTCTAAATTAGAATGTGTCTGCTTTCCTCCATATTTCTTTTTTTAAAGAAAGATGCAGATCTCCCAGGATCTGAAACTCAGTCTGGGTCTCCCACTTGAGTTCCTATCACCTACTAGTGTGAATTTGTATTTGGGCACCAGGTCAGCACCTGAACGCAGGCACTCCAGCACGGGATTCGGGCATCCCCAGCACATGCCCACCACGTAGACCTTTCTCATTCAGAGTCAGTCTACCAAGTAGCAAGCTGATTTGCAGTCACAGTCTTTGGGTAGGGAAACTACATTTTTCTGAATAAGCCGTTCTTTAGACCCAGGGAGTTCATTCCTTCCTTCCTTCGTTGGCCCAGCAGGTATTTGCTGAGTTCCTTCTGCTCTAGGAACTCTGGCAGGTGCTTGGAGCACATCAGTGGACAAAGTACAGATTCTTGCACTAACAGCAAGATGGTGACAAGGAAGCCAGGCTAGGAACACAGTCACTGACTACGTAGGCTCTTTGAAAGTGAATCAGAACTTTAGAAGGACCCAGCAGAGGATTAAGTCAACGTTCATCATTTAAACGATATTTTCAGAATGTCCAGAATCACGGCCAGTGATGGTGCAGCAGTTCACCTGCAGCCGTCACATTGTGCATCTGAACTTGCCTCTCTCCCTGTCACTGTAGGACCAATACATTTTCTGCTATCAAGTCATCCTTTATGTCCTGACACGCCTTCAAGCTGAGGAAGAACAGCGGGAGCGGCCTCGGCCTCTGCAGTGACCCGCAAGTTGCTGCCTGGAGGATGCCTCTCTCCCTCACCCATGCAGACCCCTGCTCTACGTCTGAACATGACCTTGGAGCAGCAAGCCCGGCCGGCAGCACTGTGCCTGTCTCCTCTAACTTAGAGGGGTGTTCGCCTTCATCATACAGAACCGTGAAATGCTGGATTTTTACAGCTACTCTAACCTAATCATTATTATTTTTCTAAAAGTTCTAACACTAACTGAACAATGCCGATTTTTAGGGATGTTGGCAGGGAGCATTTGATCCAAGTGGACATTGTTACAAGGACATGCTGAGTCTATTTTTAATGCATTGATCTTGTTTATAGCAAAAAAAAAAAAATTTTTCCAGTATTTTGATAGTTATTTTATAGGGGATACTTGAAACCAGTATTTAAGCTTTAAGTGATGGTAATATTGGCATAGAAAAAAAGTAGCAAGTGTTTACTGTATCAATTTCTAATGTTTACTATATAGAATTTCCTGTAATATATTTATATACTTTTTCATCAAAATGAGATATCTGTAACTATATCATCTATTTGTAACGCCTCATCTCACTTTGTAAATAAAAAATACACCTCAAAGCATGATAAGCCTAAACTGTGCAGACAAGTGCAGTGTGTCTTCATTTAACACACGTAGGGCTCCTATTGGAGGCAGGAACCTTGGCCCCCATCCAATGACAGCCATGCCAGGTGTGTTGTCACCACTCGTAAAGGACCAGCATGAGGCTCACAAGCCGGCTTCACAGCAGCAGCTGAGCGATTGAGACAGCTTCCCTCCTCCTGCCTGTGAGCGCCACCCGCTTTGGTGTCCAGCCAATGCAGAGCGTGGGAGAGCGTCCAGTACTGGTCACCACCGAAACACACAGAATCATCAGCTGCCCAAAGGGAAGGAAACACAACAGCAGCCTGCCCCCTGCAGGTTTGTGTCTGGCTCTGCAAATAGGAAGGACAAGCCTGCACGCAGGTGCTGCTGCTGAGTGGCCCCAGGGGTCTCCAGCCCTAAGCCTAAATCTTGCCCCTAACAGTGTTTCTCCTTAGAGCCAGGAGCAAGGTCATCCTGCCGTCCGCCCAGGGACCAGCTAGCTGATCCAATCGCTGCTCCTAGGGCAGGTGACAGCAGCTTGCCACGACCCTAAGGCTACCTTCCATCTCAGGGGAAGCTTCCCAACAGAGTGTCCCACTGCTGGCCAGGCCAGGTGGCAAGGAGGGATGCCAACTTCTGGATCTTGCAAGAGAACTTCACTGTCACCACCCGGCTCCCATCAGAAAAGGTTCTGTGGTTTGGGTGGTAAACAAAGGTTTCACTTGGAAAAAAAAAAAAGTTTCTATTTGCTTTTAGAGACTTTGTGAAAGCCTTGTTGCAATTGAGCTGAATCACGTTTCCTGTCACAGGCATGAAAAGGGGCCAGTGAAGTGCTGGCACACACAGGGGCACAGCTGGAGGGGATTAGCTGCCAGCATGAGACCAGAGGGGACACCGGGAAGCTGCAGATCACCTTTTGGGGGTGGGAGGAGAGGGGTGAACGAGAAAACAGGAAACGTGGGTAAGAAGTGTAGGTTTGAGTTTATGACCCCAGACTGGAAACCCTATTAAGGGTGAGCACGGTGCTGCTGGCCTCTGGCATCCGGCCCCACCAGGCACCAGCCAGTACACTGGGATCGCAAAGGCAAGAACAAAGCCTGCCCCGGGCTCTGAGCGCACACTGTGGCAGCCAAGCACGGGGCAACAGGCCAAACACAATCGGGAACTTCTGGTTTATCTAACAGTTCCGGACAGGTCTGGGCAAGGCTAGATCTGCAATCCTCACACAGTTTCCCGGACTGTCCTAAGACTCGCCTCCATCCCCCCTCCCCAGGCTGGGGGGACTCGGGGAGGAGGAGCACCCTCAGAGAGGACCCGGGGTCACCGGCTGCCTCTGCAGCCACCGGCCAGACGATGGCTCCAGAACACAAGGCAGCCGGCAGCCAGTGGACTGAGCAGTGGATCCCTCCGTGCTCCACAGGGAGAAACGTGAGTCATGATGTGAGAAATGAAACTGGACCGAAGCTGTGTCTTCTGAGTGAATGGCATCTGAGCGTTGCAGAATTAGAAATATTTCATCCCCAAATCAAAACTTCAGTAGACATCATTATTAGAGAGATTTCTGAATTATCATGATAAGCAGGAGAGAAATGGCAGTGAGAAAAGATCACTTTTTCCTCCCATATCTGTGGTTCCAGAAAGTCTGCCAAACGCCTTGGTTTGAAAATGGCCGGTCATCCGTACGTGATGTGACAAGTCCCAGAAGTTACAGGCACAGCCTGCCCTGGCTTCCTGTCACAGACTCCTCAGTCGTGCAAAAATGTGTCCTTGCACTTTCTTTGAAAAGTTTCAATTTCATCTTATTAATGTGGAGATTCACAAACTGGAGGACAGCCTGGATGATATTTCAATTTATTAAAAGAATTACAAAGAGAGAGATGTTTCCATCCACCAGTTCATTCCCAAATAGGTGCAGTGACCAGCGCTGAGGCAGGCTGAAGCCAGGAGCAGAAGCTTCTTCAGGCCTCCCAGACGGAGGGGCTGGAGCATTTTGTCTGTCTTGTGCTGCTTCCCCAGGCACATCAGCTGGATCAGAAGTGGAATAGCCAGGACTTGAACTGGCACCCAGACTGGATGCCAACATCCTAGGCAGCTTTATGCACAATGCCAGATGGCCTGGGTATTTTAAAACCACTCTAAGTTTTAATGTATTCATCTAGGATTGTATTTGATTAAAAGCAACAACAACCAAAAAAAAGTGGCAAGCAGGGTCATACAAATTAAATGTTTATTTTCCTGCCTTAGGAAAACAAGGACAGAAGTGGGTAGTAGCTATGCTTGCCTCTGCACCTCAAGAATGTCAACAACTGGGCCCGGTGCAGTGGCACAGCAGCTAAAGTCCTCGCCGTGAAAGCGCCAGGATCCTATATGGGCACCGGTTCTAATCCCAGCAGTCCTGCTTCCCAGGAACCTCTGCTCGTGTTATTAGCATGCCCTGTGCATGGGCCCGCGTCTAGCTTTAGCAGAGCTGCTGGTAGCTAGCCATGGCTCCGTGAGGGCAGGAACCTGTACTGCCCAATGGGTGCTGTGTGTCCCCCGTGCCTGTGTGATTCGCAGACCGGCTTCTTAGCCCTTACACATCTGTCCAGGGGGGCACTGGGAGCCCTCAGCGGGTCAGCAGCTGTCGAGAATGTGAAGATGGCTTGTGCCTCCAAGTCCCACCATCTCGAGGACTTTCTGCATTGCTGGGAAAACGCAACCATGCTGGCCCCTGGCAGGCTCAGTCCCAAAGACCAGACTTTCCTCACACACTTCCCAGATCTAAGAACAGATACAAAATAGACCCAGGGTCCCAGCAAACACATTCCCTGTAGGAAGTTGCGTGATCTGGTGGCATTCCACAACAGTGGAGGATGGGTGAGTCCACACATGACATTGAGAATACTTAGCCAGAAAACATTTTAATTCTAACATGTTAGAAAAAATAAATAAACAGTGGGATAAACATGTAAATGCAGTCCACGGATGTTGTAGGAAGGCATGTTTTAGTGATGGCAGGATGAAGCAGGCTGTTTGACTGCCACGGGGAGACAAGAAGTGAACACAAGAGCCAGGAAAGAAAGCGGTGGGCTCTGCTGCAGGGTGCCCCAAGTGACGTGAAAGCGGTGGGAAATGCCATGGTTACAGGCTCGGTGAGTAAGAGACAGTGTTCGCATGCCTTGCAGCCCCTGTCCTAAAGAATGAGGCAGGTCAATGCGATCGTGATGCCTGCAGCCCCTCTCTACACAGCAGGTCACCAGGAGACTGAGGGAGGCTATTCACGGAACTGGCGCGCTTGAAATGGCAGGTGTCTGTCTCTAGGAAGTGAGACTGCACTTTCCACTCTTTCCCTCCACGCCGCCCCCCAGCTCCTCCCAGCTTGTGCTACACACCTGTAACCCAAAAAGTTTTTGAAACCCTTTAAAAAAAAAAAAACAGCAATCGTTTGCAAGAAAGGTCTCACTGTCTACAGGCTGTGTTTCCTCCCCCGTGCTGCCAAGGCCCCGCCAGGGCCCAGCAGCCAAGTGCCCTGCCCTCTGCCTGGCCCTGCTGCAACACGAGGTCGGCTTGCTCCTTTAGAGTTTTAACTATTGGATTCAAATTCAGGTGCCAGGTGCTGCCGCTGCGTTGGGAGACAGGCCCTCCAATGTGTGGGAGCCCCGTGAGCCGGTTCCAGAGGATCCCGTCACAACGCCCAATCTACGGGAGAAAAAAAAAGGCACACAGACGTGGCTGGCAGGTGCTACGCGTGAGACTCCCGCATCAATCCGGTCCCGCCTTCACTGGCCGCTGCAGGAGAGAAGCGAGCAGCAGGTGCACCTGGTTCCGGGGCAGCCACCTGGCCCTGGAGGTCCAGGGCCCTGGCGCAGTCCAAGGACCCAGGCGGCCCTGCAGGAGCCACAATGGCTTCTTCGTTCACCTCCAGGAAGGCCCTGGCCTCTGCAGCCGACATGGGTTTCAGCTGGATGCGGACTTGTGCGCGCTCCGGGTTCTTTCTTCTCTGCTTGTTCTCCAGCCTCCTCTTATATGTCTGATAAGCTGCCGGTAAAACACACGCAAGGCACAGTCACTTAGCTGGGGCCGGGTCACGTTTCTCACGGTGTGGTAACATGGTTTACTTCTCCATATACTGGGGTTTGCCTCATTTTATACCACATATGCATAAACGCCCAGGAAAACAGGAAGTGGGGCAAGAAAATGAGGGAACAGAATGAACCCATCTGTCAGAGTGACTTCCTGTCAGGAAGGGACCGTTTAGGACGGTGCCTGGAGCCTCACCCGTCAGTCGCCAGCCAGCCAGCCAGCACCCTCCTGGCCCAGGGGGACGCCAAGCTTCCCCGTCAGGCTCACCAGGAGAAGAAATTCCAAGTTGGATGAAAGACCAGGAGTTTTCATGATAGGATTTCCTTGATCTCATGGGATAACTAAATTCCAACTAGTGTAAGCATTGTTTTTATTGATTGCTATGTTAGTGGTCAGGACAGCTCAATTAATCATCCATGCAGAATCCATTGCAAGTGATCGATCTACTTACAGTGGCCAAGATTTATATGGATGTGTGTGTGTGTGTGTGTGTGTGTGTGTGTGTGTGTGTGTGTGTGTGTGTACACTGGGAGGGATATGCAAATACACATTTTCATTTACCTTTTGTGAACCTACATATGATTAATGTAAAATAATGTACACATAATTAAATAGATAAGTAAATGAAACACCTCAAGGGTGTTCATGAGACTTAATATGTAAATACCTACATCTGGTAAATGTCATTTCTAAGCTAGACAATTCTTAACAAATCTATGAATCTAAGTTCCGGCCATGCATTAGTCTTTGTAAGGCATATTTATTTATACTAAGAAGCTTACCTCCAGATGTTTCTTTTACATTTTGTCATTTTTTATCTGAATTGCCTTTTATTTGAAAGGCTGAGCAATTGAGATCATCATTCTGCTGGCTTACTCCCTACATGACCACAACAACCAAGTGTGGAGCAGGCCACAGCTGGGAGCCTGCAACTCAA